TCATCGTGGTGTATTATCCTCTGACATAGGCTGGTCAATGTCGTGACCCCTCTCGCTGTAATCTCTGGACATAGCTCCCGTACAATCTTGGCTATTAGAGTTAGACACATGGCATCGGTGGGAAGCCCCTGTCCACGTCCATGGCACGGTAAACAATCTGTACCGCTGCTTCGATCCCCTCCAGATGACGCGCAATGTTTCTGCGTCTCGCCTCCAATTCCGCCTCCGTCTCCCCTTTGAGGATGAATTGTAGATGTGCCATGTAGAGTCTGCAGTCTACCTGATTGGGTTTCAACCATAACACCCTGGCAACGTGAGGGTAAAATCGTTCCACCTTCTGAGGGTCGAGGTAATTGACTGTGTGATGAACCAGGCAATGAGGGTCGGCTGGTGGTAGAAGGCTGGATATATTGTCTGGCTGGTTCTTGATACACCATTGGGTTTCCACTATCATGAGATATTCTGTCAGCATCAGAAGTTCCACTTTCTCCACGGTCGTCTCCATTTCTCTGCACCATTCGTTTGGAGATTCGGGCATCTTTAAACGTGGGTTCGTTTTCTACGGAGGAGTTTGATAATGAATATAGACAACGTCTTGCCCTTCACCTTTATACCAACCAGAATCTATTTTTAACGTATTCACGTCATCCGTGAACGGGTTCGTCTTTGTTCCTCTTTCCTTTTGTTCATTACTTTTCTCTTGTTTAAGGATTATACATGAAATTTCTTGTTTCGTACTTGGCCAACTTCATGGTCTTGTCGAGGCGTGTCGCATGGATGACGTCATTGGGTCGTTGTGCAACACCATGACGTCATTTGCACCGTGGTACCCATGACGTCATTTGTTTTTTCGTCAAGCACTACGTCATTGTTTATAATCCCCCTATTGTTTTTAAGGATTATCTTTTCATAACTCTTTCATACGTGTCTAATCCCTTCGTCATTCATCCCTCGCGTTATAATCCCTTCCGATATCATCCATACATTTATAATCCATCGTTGCTATTCCATAGCGAGGTAATCCCTCCTTTGTCTTTCATTTCTTTAATCCTCTTTCCTTCATATTCTATTGTTTTTGCTTTTAATCCATTTCATAATTTATTATCCGTTAATCCATAATTCATACTTCATATTTTAATCCATATTTCATATTTTAATCCATATTTCATATTTCATATTTCATATTTCATATTTTCATAATTATTGATCCATATTTCCATAATTCATATTCCATTGTTTGTAAACAATAGGATCATATCATAATTCATATTTCTATTGTTTGTAAACAATAGGGATTAGTATGACGCTATACGTACACCTATACTACTGGGGAACTGAATTAAGACTTTGATTAAGAGTCGAGAATGGTACAACGAATCGTCTTATTTTTTTTAATAATTTAGCGAAACGTCAGAGCTTCCGCGCTACGTGCGGAGAAAGGGGAACTTGATTCAAACAAGGATTAAGAGTCGAGAATGGTAGAACGAATCGTCTTCTTTCTTTAATAATTCAATGAAACGTCATAGCTTCCGCGCTACGCGGAGGAAGGGGAACTTGATTCAAACAAGGGTTAAGAGTCGAGAATGGTACAACGAATCGTCTTTTTTCTTTATTAATTTAATGAAACGTCAAAGCTTACGCGCTTCGCGCGGGAGGGGTGGGGGAGAACTGAATTCAGACAGGGATTAAGAGTCGAGAATGGTACAACGAATCGTCTTCTTTCTTTAATAATTTAATGAAACGTCAGCTTCCGCGCTACGCGCTGAGGAAGGGGAACTTGATTCAAACAAGGATTAAGAGTCGAGAACGGTACAACGAATCGTCTTCTTTTCCCCTAAAAATTTAATGAAACGTCAGAGCTCACTACCACCCCCTAAAATAAAATCCTGGTTACGCGCTTGAGAGGATAATAACCCAGGTAGCAAGCCCACGTGGGCCCCACATGGGTCCCATATTCTCTGAAATGTTATCTTTATTGAAGGGGACTTGAAAAAGTTAATAACTTGGAAGGGATGGGTAAAACCTGCCACACGCTTCTACCTCTTGGTTGCTTTGATCCATTGCCGAAAATATTTTGGCACCTATCATCCCCCCCCCCCCCTCTCCAACCACGGATACAAATCGACACCCCTGTCTGCATGTTCAGAGATATTGCACTTCAGAATACCTTTCTCTACCAAAATACGGAATAGTCGGTTGCCTTCACCGAGGAGATTCCCTTCTAATATCATAACCGTATACATGACAAGATTATGCAGTGCCGGCGAGCTCATAATATTTTTTTATTTTATTACATGCGCTGTTTTCCGATCCAATCACTCAAGACCTGAAATTTTGTTTCAAGAATTAGCACCAAACTCTTGAGCATAGAAGTTTTTTTTGATATTCACAATGATAAACACAGATAACGTAACTCGTCTCAGAACACTGTGCCCTGCTATGTTTGTTTTTGTAGTTGTTTTATTTATTCCGATACAGTGATACAATTATATAAAATTAATATCATGACGACTTCTCTAATCCGTTTAATTTCAGTGAAACTATTTCCGAGCACATAGCTCAATAATGCGAATGAAAATATAAAAGAACTTATTGAATATGAATGATGTGAGATCTATATAAGAATAAGTTAATCATTAAATCAATATTTATTTTCTAAAAAAAGATTGTCTTTTCCATTAATCAATAACACCTTGCCCCAATTGCTTTGACATTAGGCCTACACATTCAACAACAAAAATTAACAATAAAATACCGACAAATTTTAAATTGTAGCTGCGTGAAACTTGAATCTTTAACACCGCAGGAATCTTGACCCGGCTTCTCCCACACCACTAATGCTCCGTCTGATGCCGATGCATAATTTCACATCCGGTATTGTAAGTTAGAGTGGTAGTGTGGTATATTACACTTCTATTTATGTGGCCATTCAGCTCAGACTCGTTCTCAACTCTCTAACAAAGGAATATTGGATAATCCTACATCATGAATATAACAAGGATCAGAAATACCGACATGGTCAGGGGTAAAGCCATTTGTAAGGTAAGAATGCTATAAATACAGTGCGTAGTTTGTAAAATCATTTTACCTCACGTGAAAACATATTTTGCGGTAAGCGCGAGCGTAAAAGTCGTAACCAATGCGTTCAATGGTCATGAAATCCACGCTATACGTGTGTAGCTCCTTGAGCTAGCGACGCATGCTGTTCCGTTTGTTTACAGGGTATATATCTTTTGATAATCCATATATATTCCAAGTATTTTTGATGTATAAACCTATGTTTCAATAAACAAAATGTTTACCTTTTCTGGTCGGATAGACTTCAGACCCAATTTTTTTGTAGCTGAAATTTGAGCCCTAAATTATGTTGAATATTATAGGATTTAATAGGGTATGATTTGCATACCGGTAGCCTAGTATATTTTCAAAATGATTGATTAATCATTAAAGAATATATTTTATTCTTGGAAATTCTTAGGAAATTAAGATATTATTATCCCTGATTATCGATAACTCAGTTTCTGAAGTGTTTGAATTCCATATCATATACCATAAAAATAACCGAGGGGAACCCTAACCTGTTTATTGTATACTATTGCAGGAATATTATAATTATGCGTCCTGTTCACTCTTCATTCAAATGTGCACGTGAGGAAATCACATTGAACAGGATGTGAAACCGTTTCCCCAAGTCCAAGAAATCTGGTTGTCTTTCTTTATTTAGGTCTTATAGTTACACAGAAGGAAAAAAAAAGTAGAATAAAAGAACAGCAAATAACCAGATGACTCCCTACAGAGGCTCTCAATAGTCATAACTCAGCTCAGGAAGGAGAGGGGGAGGGGCGAGGGTGTTTATATCTTATTAAAATATAAGGAGTTATGAATATAGTACCTAAATTCGAATTGGCACTTGACTGTACTACGACCAAGGCCATCGACGACCATGACATTGTATAGAATTTCCAACCCAAGAAACGCTAGATGCAGTTTTTGTTAGATGGATTTTCAGTAATTGACCCCGGCCATGACCCGCGCTTTATGTATAGTCTACCGAAATCAGCCGAAAGTTGTCATCGTTGGAAATTTTCTGTTTTTATTTATTTTACACAATTATTGTAATGATTGCTCTTCGAATTTGATGATTTTTTTTTTCTCACTAGAACCTGTTTGAGTGGAAGATTTTCTTTAGCACGGCCATTTTTGTGGGACCTTTTTCCAACTGAACCAGTAAAAGGAAAAGAAGAAAAGTACAAAGTGATAACATTTTGTTGATTATTATAGTAAATGAAATAAAACACAATTAAACAAAAAAAGATATCTGTAAGGTTTAGTCGCAAAGCCTAAACTTGGCTTCACGCCAGTTCATTCAATGAACCCCTCCACATCATCCAATCAGATGAGAGTATTTTATACACACCCCCAGGCGAGCCCACCATACTCAACGCTGGAATTTGTATGTGCGTGAATTTTATACCGTTTGTTATTATAGCTGAACCATAGAGATATATACATATCTCTATGGGCTAAACTCATTTGAGTATACGGTTTATATACATGAGAATATTATCGCCATAATAAGACAGTATACCCTCACCCCCTCCATACATGGAGATACAGAGTTTCATATTATTTGCTTTAAACTTAATTTCAGATACTATTTCTCTAGTCATAAATTATTTATGGACCTATAGGTCCATGGTCTTATACAGTCATGTACTCTTCTTCAAAGATATATCATTATTTTGTACAGTTATTATTAGATTGATCTTTGATGTGATGATATCACTTTAGTGATAAGCATGGTACTAGAATAAATATGTTATTAATGATTAATATCAAGCACCGGAGCACAATAAATTCTTGTATTTGCTGGATTGGCGGAGTGTGTTGAGGAGGTTATGGTCCACTGGTTATAGAAGAATAGGATCGTCGTCCTCACTCACCAAACACGGAGTGTTATGTTTAGTGCGAGGCAAATAATAAGGCGCCATTTCCCTTTCAACCAATAATTGTTCACCAAGGAGGAATGCATTGTATGCATTCACAACTAGCCATTCTATTGTTGAATCCCCTGCATGTAACCTTCTGTGGACCGCACGCTGTATGTATCGTACCAAGATCTCTACTGAAAAAATGCTGCGGTCTCGTCTGGAATTATATAATAATTTATCAAGCAACCACTTTTGTCTGAACATATTTCATGCAACCGCTTATTATATCTTAGCATATTCGTGATTGGCTGACGACGATGTGACACACAAGGAAGACACGACGACATTATGTTTATTTATCACCCAGAACCTCACTCGAAAGGATTATACTTTACATAAAGGATCATTTTGTAGACCTTATATTTTGTTGGTCAGCGAAATTTTTATGCAATGGCGACTGAGGAAACTGGATCATTTGCGGTAAGACAAACATGGTATCAGGACTTTTGTAAGATTTGGGGTATTTTGATGGATACATAATTATCTTCTGAAGATAAAGAGAAGAGAAGAGAAGAGAAGTGAATCACTTCTCTTCTCTTTAGTTTTGTTCATCCTCGGCCGTCACCCGGAAGTTAGTACTCACTACTCATCATCATAATAGCCAGTTCTATGAACTATATACCACGACCACAGATTATATTTTGTCTCACTCCCTGTAAAAGAAGCCTCCCCCTCGCAGGAGCCTTTCCATTCCCCATGCTTCCTTTCTTCATCATTCTGTTTAACGTTAACCAACAAATAGGCCATTGTCGTAATGTAACCAAATTATAATACATTAGTCTTTGTGAAGTGCCTCAATACAAATTATTTCATTATGATAGTATTTCAATAGTCAGAATGCAAACTACATATATCAAGTGTTGCTATGTAGGGCAAGACATGATGTTTGTCCTACCTGGCAACAACTAATGTATGCAATTCGGATTCTGTCTATTGAAATACTATTATTCTTATCAGGTGAATGAAATAGTTTGTATAGACTCACTAGTTACTCAAAGTCTCGTCGAAACACATTTTTTAAAATTTGTGTGCGTTATGAGGAAACTCCTGGAGTATATTGAAATAATTTAAGTAATAAAGACATTAAATTAAAAATCTTCAACCATTAAAATATGATGATTAATATTGTTTCCCACCTCACAGTCGGGTCCAAACAACAATAAAGTTGATGACATCAGACAGTTTTCAATGAAGGAAGTCGCTCTGCATTCCGATCACCATTCATGTTGGCTGGTCATCAAAGACTTCGTTTACGATGTAACGTCTTTCGTTTCAGAGGTTAGTTTAATATTAATTGACTAGAAGTTAGAACCCATGTTTGGAAATTGTATCTACATTCGAGAATGTATAATACTTGTATAAAATAGCCTTGCATGAATAATGTAATTTACTTTTGTCGTCGCGGTTATGGACCCCGTCCCCCATAAAAAGGTAATGTAATGATGCCATCAAGCAGTTAATAAAGTTGAGATATCTTCTTTAAACAAAATTAATCCTCGAAAGAATACAGTTGCGGAAAATTCGGTATACCTCACTCCCAAGTTCCGCCATTAAGATAACTGCAGGTCCTAGTTTAAGGCAATCGTCGTCTTAATAAACCTTTGTTTTCATAAATATTGTGTATATAATTTTACATTATCACAAAATAGGTATCTGTTAAAATTGTATTCTTGATGTTTTTTTTTCTTCTTAATTATAGCATCCTGGAGGATGGGAGATGATCATGGAGAGAGCAGGTATATACATAATTATCAAACATGGTTCTCCCCCCCTCCCTCCTACCCCTCCCTCTCCCTCTCTTTCTCTCTCTCTCTCTCTCCCTCCCTCTCTTTCTCTCTCTCTCTCTCTCTCTCTTCCGCTCTCTTTCTTCCCCCTCTTTCTATCTTCATAACTATTTCCCGCTTTTAATAATTGCCTAGCTACGACGTATTTCACTCTGTGTTGCTCAAAATAAATTACCATAACATGTTAACTTTGTTTCTTCTTTCATTAGACTACATTATGTCCCTTGTTGTTGTTACTCTCTTTTCGTAACAGTTGTAACACAATTAGGTGTTCTCTCGTATAGAGTTGCAACCTGTCAACTAGTGTTCATATTGGTATATACCAATGGTTTTTAAAAGAAGCTCCTGTATATTTCACTTTGTAAAACAAATACTCACACTATTTAGGTTTCTCAACTTCATACTGTTCTATTTGATTTAATAATCATAAAACCCCCAGCATTTCTCATGGTTTTAACTTTTAAATCCTGAAGGTACTGACGCAACTAATCCATTCGAGGGCAAAGGCCACTCAGACGATGCACTAAAGCTGCTTGCCGGGTTCAAGATCGGTCAGTTAATAAGGGTAAGAACATTCAAGTTTTATACAAAATATTGTTGCTATGAGTTATTGTATCATCACGTGACATGGAGTTCATTATACCAGGTGGGAGCCCAGGGAAATGCAGCCCCAACCCCGCCCCCCCCCCCCCAAAAAAAAAAAAAAATAAATAAATAAATAAATAAATAAATAAAATTGAAAATGATATTACCAATATTCGGGCAGTGACACATGACTCCTTGGTAGTTTTGCAAATTTTCACGTTTTGTTTGGAATTATTACAATTTGTATTGAAACTTGTTAATTTTAAATGACTTTGCATTTGCGTGTGTCGATAGTTTGCCTTTTTTGTTGGCAAAATGTGATCCAATTAGCCCCCCCCCCCTTCAAATTTGCTAAGAAGAGCTCCACTGCTTATTTTTATGTTTTAAGATCTTTACTAAACAACTGCTTTTGAAGCGTATACGAAAAGTTCTTCTACAAAGCTGCACAGTATAGTTGAGGGTTTAACATCTGATCTCCACAATATAAGAATCGCCTTTAACTCGAATTACTAGTTCCTCTTCCAATATTATTAACTGATGATTGCTATTACACATTAAATTCTATGACCATGAGGCCGATGTTTTATACACATTAATTCATGAAATGGATACTCACTTTCATTTTCGCTCCCTATAATTATGTAAAGTTGTCTTGAAATCTGTATGAAGCTCTGCGTAAGATTCGTATACGATAATCGTTTTCATAATTATTATACAGATATGCCGTCGTTGAAATATTTTTTTTTTAAACATTAAACACCAACACTGCTTCATGATCATGTTTTGTTATTTCATCTTAATCATACAAACACTCAACACTCGAATACAAGATTGGTCATAAACATCCCATGGTCGAGGTTAAAAAGATGTGAAACAAGAAATGGCTTGAAGCTTGCATGGGCTTATTTTATTAACATTAAAGGTAAAGACCAGTATTGGAAACGCCCCAATATTTTTATTTCAAAAAATGAAATAGAAGCTCTCATTACCAATCATGTGAAGAATATGTTTTGACTAATACATGATGATAACAAAATTGCCGGGAAACCGCCTACTAATTCATATATTTGGTAAATTTGTTTCTCTCATGGACTGTGAGAGATATAGGGTAGTCCCATATACATCTTTCTGTGTATAGTGCTTGTAACTTTACGAAGAATGGGCCAAATTTCTTATCATTTTGATGATTCCAGAACCTTGCAGATGCTAGATGCTAGATGATCAACCTTTTCTGATCGATTCCACAACGTTTCTTTCACAATGCAATCGCATGACCATAACTGGTCTTTACCTTTAAGTTAGTAGGGAAGTTCTCATCCACCTGTGGAGTTTCTCAAGCCACGGTGATTTTTAATATTTTTTGTGGAAAATTGTCCAAATAACCATTGCATGATTTTTGTTTATCAAACAAAACTGGAAAATGCTTCAATTGCATATTATGATTCACCTTTTATATTATATAACAATATTGATATTCTCTGTTTTATTCTTCTCTCCTTCTGCTTCTTCTTCTTCTTCTTCTTTTTCTTTTTCTTCTTCTTGTTTTCCTTTATTTTTCTTCTGCAGAGTGAACGTCTGGAGAAAGGATAACGAAGTAACAAGAGGATAGATTTCTTGCTGTTTTTATGCAATAATGGTGTCTTTTTACACAAAAGTCTATATATTATTATATATTTATTCATATTATCATTGAGGATACGTGTAAATAAATCGGATGGCAGCTTTTTGTAGATCACATTTTATGGCAGCTCTAATAATGAATATTATATGGGAATCTGCGTGTCCAAATTGAATTAACACTTTGTATTATAACGTATTCAGGGTACAATGAATTTGTAAATACAAATCCTTGATTTTTATTATATTATGTATATGAGGCTATAGGTGATATAATTATGTGTGGATTTGTTTGCCTGGAAGTACTTTGTATAATGGAATTCAGAAAGAAAAATAGTTTTGTGAATAATGCTGGTATTTTCTTCTCTCAGTCTTTCAGTGTTGCAATTAATTGAAATATATTGAAAGGGTATTTTTTTTGTTTATATATCAGGGCCCCGCGCGTCTTATGAAGAGTAATTGTGATTGATCCAAATCAATCGCAAGTCCTCTATCTTCTATCTCGTATATACATACATGTAGTTGCGATCAATCGCAAGTGTTTATAAGACGGGGCCCAGGAGGATTATAACAAAATATAGGCCTACATTGAACACGCCCTAGTGATCTTTAGTTACGAGGCCGAAAAGATCGGATGTTCATCTCAGTCTAACACCACAACTGGATATCGCTGTTGCAGACGCAATTGTGGTTGGAACTTTAAATTTTAAATGGTTTTTAAATTTTAATGAGTCAAGTTCCATTGAGGAAAATAATGTGTGAGCTAAGAGGACGAGTATTTATACAGTCTTTATAGTGAGGCCGAAGGTCTTGATTCATAGTTTAAGTGACCATGCACTAATCAAAAGGCGCGCGAATAAGACCAAAGTCCGGCGAGACCGAAAGCCATGCAATTGGCGTTTCGTGTTTCGGTATCGCGGGCCATTTAACAGTCATGTACTATTTCAAATGATTACGAGATCGACTGCTGTTTTCGGACTCGTGGGTCTTCGTCTCGCGAATTAATGCTGCAGTCTCAAACAAACGTATTCAGGGCCTACAGCTTGTTTTAATTTCTGTTATGCAAAAGGAATATACTTTTCACATTCTTGTTATCACGTGAGTTTTTATAAATTATGATCTGCACTCGAGTTGTTGTGTACTTTGTATCAAACAAGTATTGTACTCGAGTGCATCGTTTACACGAAACCGAAGTACAAGTTCACCGACATTCCATAATTTTTCAAACGCGTCGTAATTTTAATACACGCGTTTCAACGAGATGTCCGACGAACTTGTACTTATGACAGTTTCATGAAACGCTGCCAGGTATTTAAAGTGCAAATAATAGGGGTTCTTCTATATTGAGGTACTTGGTTTTATCAGATAGACATACACTCATGTACCTTATGGATTTAGACGTCTGCTTATGGCAGAAAAATATATAATTTGATGTTAATAATGAAATGAATAATAAATAACGTCTCAATATGTTCCGACACATAGGCCCGAATTCACAAAGGAGGTTTGTCGACAAACCGAGGTTTATGTGCGTCATACGACGCGTTTCGACGCGTTTTTACAAACCTTGGTTTGTAAAAAACAAAAGGAGGTTTGTCGAAACAAAAGGAGGTTTGTCGACAAACCTCCTTTGTGAATTCGGGCCATAATGGCTGGATGCCGCTCGGTAAAACCACTGCATAAGCTATACATTGCATCACTGAATAAATCATTGGGTGGGAAATGGAGGCATAGAGCACCCAACCCCCTCCAACCGCGAGAGAAAATTATTGATCTTCAAATAACCAAGGAGATTTTATAATAATAATAATAATATGGATACTTATATAGCGCCGGTATCCACCTAAACGTATACTCTATACATGCATTTCTTTGGTGCTATGGTTACGGGTGGCACATGCACCAAATCAAGTGGTAAAGAAAACAAATTGAGAGAAGGAAAATGAAGAGGGGAAAGGGAAAGAGAAGAAGTCGCCAACAACCTTGACAACCTCACATGCCCTCCCCCATTCAGTAGCCTTGTAAATTAACATTTTGTTTTCTTAATAAGACAGGTCGGTATCCTCCCTCAGCCCCCTCCCTTTCTTGTACCTTCGTTCCAGTGTCCCTTCAGATGATGGACTCGCTGTACGCCACTGGCATTGCAGAAAAAACAGCCGTATTCGATACGAGTTTTATCAAACAAGTCTATACCATCGTCATTAACTTTAAATTGCAGTGACCCGATTATTGTGTACTAACGTAGTGTTTACAGTGTTCTAAAAACGAGGTTAGGCCTACTAATAATTCTCCCTCTCATTAGTTCAAAAAATGTATTACTTCATAATGATTTATAGTGATGTACAATGACTTTCTGGCAGAATGAATGCGAAATAAATTCTATACAATATTTTGTTCCATTTGACTCATCCCAGAATTCTATAATTATTTCCACTTCAATAGCTCATTGTTTTCTCTCCAGCCCCCTTCTCTCTCTCTCTCTCTCATCTTTCTCTTCATTTCTATCTCTTTCCTCTGTGTTTTCCCCCTCTTTCTCTCCATCTCTTTATATCTGTATCTCGCTGTCTGTCTCTTTCCCCTGTTTCACTCGCTCTCTCTTGCTCACTCTCTCCCTTTCTTTCTATCTCTCTATCTTGCCGTCTGTCTCTTTCCTGTTTTTCTCCACTTTCTTCCTCTCTATATCTGTATCTCGCTGTCTCTTTCCTCTGCCCCCCCCCTCTCCTTCTTGCTCTCTATCTCACTGTCTCTTTCCTCTATGTTCCCCCTTTCTTCCTCTCTCTATCTCGCTGTCTCTTTCCTCCATTCCCCCCTCTCCCTTTCTTTCTCTCTTTCTCTCTCTATCTCGCTATCTGTCTCTTTTCTATGTCCCCCCCCCCCTCTCTCTCTCTCTCTCTCACTCTTTCTCTATCTGTATCTTCCTGTATGTCTCTTTCTCTGTGTCCCTTCCCTACCCCCCCCCTCTCTCTCTCTCTCTCTCTCTCCCTCTCTTTCTTTCTTTCTCCCATCAAATCACTCTCTTCATCAATTTTGATATTTGGATGTGGGTTTGTCTGTATTGTGCAGGGGTTTGTGTGACCATATGCAGGTATATCTGTATGGAGCAATTATATGTCATGTATGTATTCACAGCTGAGACAAACTTCTCTTTTAATCATCTGCAAGATTTTGAACCCAGATCTGTGAACAGGAAGACGGGTGACTTGACTCCTAGATCCTTATTAACGGTATCATTTAAAAAAAAAATGAATTAATATTTTCTTTTTTAAAAGACATGACAATTTATTAGCAAATGTATACCAAACAAAAAAAAGCATCATTTATATACAATATATGACTTACATAATAATATATAATAAATAAAATACAAGATTTCACCTCAATTTATTTTCTTTTTTCTTTTATTTATGTTACAACTTTGTTCTCTTCTGTTCTTTGCATAAATTCTCAGTTGGACCCAAACTGTGGGCATTGCATGATCTTAGATAATAAAAGACAACTTGAATTTTAGTCATGAAACAGATGAGTTAGTATGTACACGTACTACCGCATATTTAATAATATTACAGCCATGGTACTTTTTCGAATACATACTCATGTTACTTGCCAACTTACCCTTCTAATATTTCATTCATTTTTGCCAAGAAAGAAGAACAAAATGTAGTAATTGTATACACTTCATTCAAAATTGCACCATCATCATATATAAAATATCTTCATGTAAATAGCATAGATTAATAATTGTGAGAAACATCAGAGTTCTTTGACATGCCTCCATCGATGCCTGCATAAGATGCAGACGAGATAGTAAAGAATGTAGGTTGCCATGGTAACACCTGATGCAGCATAGAGGATGAGGATGAGATATTCTTCTGGGAGAAAGCACTTGTTGATAGCGATGGAGGTAGGAGAGATCGAAGCCTGGGATGTATAGGAGAGAGAACATAGGGCGATTGGTAATTACTATCTCATATTCAGGGTTAGAAACTATACATGTAACTGATTGCAATTGTCTTCCAAGTTTTTTGACAAATAAATTAGTTCAGTCTTATACCACAAACCGATCAGAGTTCTGAGTGCCGATTACAATAGCATTGAAGGTACAATCAAACTGTTGAAAAATACATTGAAAAAACAGTCAGTCCACAAGGTGACAGGAAGTAAGAATATTTTGGAGATGAAACTCCTCCAGTACGATGAACTGAAAGGATTATTTTGTACCAAGGCAATGATTTATGTTGGATTTCATAAAATTAATGGGACTCAAATGAGGAATGTAGGGTTTAAGGTTAATGATACAGTTAGCAATAGTTGGGGTGTGCTGACAAATGGAACGCACATGCATGTAGGGCCACATGGCCTAGTCATCGGTTGTAGTATGTAGGACTATTGAGGGCAGCAGCCACTCTGCAATCTGTGTCCAGTGTTCTGCCAAAGGCAGGTCCACACACCAGAGCCCTCTTTAGTGGTTATCTTTCATCCCTTTCTACCTTTACAATCCTTGATTAAAAAAACTAAAAAAAGTCTGACACCATCCAAATTCTTGGTCCCCCAATTCCATGTTTACCATCCATCTTCCCTTCCAAGAAGTCCCTGAACAATGTTATGTCCCCTTTAAGATGTGTCCTATACAGTTATTTTCCATCTCCAGATTTTTTCCCTTAAGTTTTTTCTTCATCCACTCCATCCAGGGGGTGTTTCACAAAGATAAGATCGACTTTAAGTTGGACTTAAATATAAAGACCAGTTCTGGTCATGCGATTGCATTGTGAAAGAAACGTGAAATCGATCAGAAAAGGTTGATCATCTAGCGTATAAGTATTGGTGTGTACTGCAAGGTTCTGGAATCATCAAAATGATAAGAAATGTGGCCCAGTCTTCGTAAAGTTACAAGCACTGTACACAGAAAGATGTATATGTGACTACGCACACATGCGCAACACGTGCATATTATCTATTTGGTCCCTATAGATAAACTAATTTACCAAATATATCAATTAGTAAACGGTTTCCCGGCAAAATTTTTATCATTATGTATTAGTCAAAACATATTCTTTCACATGATTGGTAATAAGAGCTTCCATTTCATTTTTTGAGAGGGGGTTGTTTCCAAAACTGGTCTTTACCTTTAACTATGGCAGGCCTATCATGCCACTGGTTGCTCTCACCATTGGTCTCTCAATTATGATCTTCAGATAATATTTTTTCCTTCAATAATGAACCATCAAAAAAGGTAAAGTCTGTAGATTTGTGCCCACGATTTGTACGTCCCTTGAGAAACCAATGCCAGGAATAGTTAGATAAACTAATGGCACGACAGGCCGGCCATAGTTCAGTTCAACTTAAAGTCGATCTTAGTCTTTGTGAAACACCCCCCAAGACTTCTCCCTGACCCTGACCCTGTCCCTTCAACAACACACTGAAATATAATCTACAAATATATTTATATGACAATTTTCTACCTCTCATACTCACCAGGATGAGACTGGGATTTTTTCTATTTCTCCAGCTGAATGAAGGCACTGAGATTTCTGGGGTTACGTTCTGATGAACGATGTAGCAGCCATGATGGGTGTGAGCACTCAGGACTAGACGAGGATGGATCCATGACAATAACTGTGAAATATAAATTAAAGCATTTATTTACATTTTGTCTCTCAAATCTTTGATCATTTGGGAAGGTTGTGATGAATACCCAAACAATTAAACTAGTACACCCTGAAAGATAAAACTCCTTATCGGAATTTGACTACTTTTTTTAAAGATTTTTATATTTAAGGGGATACAAAGGCTGGTAGGTAATTATTTGTTGATAAAGCTTGGATTGTGTAATCTTTCGCTGAGTAAATCATTGCACATTATTTATTCTATATTATATAATTGACAAGAGCCTAAATATTATTTGAAGAATGGGTTCAGAATACTAGACATCATTTGCGATTTCCAAAGAAATGTCAAGTAATAATTTGACAAATATTTTAATTAATGGTCAAAATGAATGATCACACCCTGTCTAACATCTCTCTAAGAAAAAGTTGCTTGAATCTTACAAACCTTTTGGTCAGCACTCATTACAATTCTTGCACTCCTTTAGGTAACTGATGCACTTCTGTGTGGCTACTTTCTTGAATTGAGATAGTAAAACCAAAGTCTTGCGCTAAGGAATCCATCTCACCTTGTCTGTTGCTTTTTGAGACAGAACTTCTCTTCTTTGTCCGTGGGGAATATATTTTTCATCAAGCGGTGTTCCGTCGATACCCGAGCACATCTCATCTGTAGGACGGTACAGGGGGAAGTGCTGGGTAGAAAAATGCAAAGGTCAAAAGTCAAATGAGTGATTGCATGCATACTTAGGGGTCTTGCAGGACTTAAAGGGCCAACACATGGACATGTCTAGAATGGAGAAATCTACAGAAGTGAGACTCCCTTTCATGAAAATGTAGATATCTCTACAATTACCTGAATTAATGACAAGGAATGGTTACAAATGTCGTAATAACATACGGTACACATCAATATATATACACATGTATTTGACCCCCAAAATGTAACGGCCCTACTGTTAAATAAGAAGTCTTGCAATCCTGAGATATCCAGGGAAGCCATCCTATCTACAGTTATAGTCTTTCTAAGGGTGCGTTTAAGCGATACTTTTCACCCTAGAAACACCGTTTCCAAAGACATTTAGTTTAAAAAACGGTTGGGTTCAAGCCCTTTTTTTGTCGATCGTAAAAATAAACATGTTTAAAAACACAAACATGAAAAGCTGAAAAAGATGCGTTTTGTATTATGGAGAATCACGGTTGCTAAAATCGCTTGAGCGAACAAGATCTCAATCAAGATTCTATAACATCATTATCGTGGCCTTCTTCCAGTTTGGCCGACAGTCCACCGTAAACAAACACAGAAAGCATGCAGCGAAGTTGACCTACACTTCCTGACTCAAACTGCACAGTTTGATGAGCAGTGGCTGGGCTTGAAATGAGCCTAATGAAATACCAGAAAACATACTGCAATAGGTGCCAAAAAAAGAGAGGTTTTACAGAACTAAAAATAATAATAAATTCACCTGAAGAAGTATTGGAGGAGCTGCGGGCAACGATCTGTAATGGCTGCATCTAGACTTCCCTTTCTCCTTCTGCTTGTCCCCGCCCTGGTGTCCAAACCTTGAGCAGTTGAGCCTCTCAGACACACCTCTTAGCTTCGTCTGAGCGGACGAGCAGAAGCTGCAACCATCTCCGTGGAAAGCCATGCTGTTCACCAGCACAAAGCTGTAGGTTTTACGAGAGGAGGAAAACAGATATTTAAAAAAATTTCGAGGTGCGATCATGATATAATGGTTGTGCAGAGACATTCACAAAAAAGAGTTTTCAAATACAAGCTGATTAATGTATTTGATAACATCTCATGACAGATTTATCCCATTAAAGGCTTGTTCGCATATGCTGCTATGGCGGCTTTTTGTGTACTAAGATACAATTGATATGAAGCACAGTATGCTTTACTTGCTTTAAAAAAAAAAAAAGAAGTTTAACACAACATACATGAAGCATCAACAGATGGACATATAGTTTGCACTAGTAGACGTAGATTTCAATGGAAAGCACTTTCTGAATACTGCATTATTTTTTTAAATCTACTTGCAATGAAATTATTGCTTGTTAATAATGATGACCAACATCTAAACAGAGTGGAACCATGCATTCTCGTAAGTCGTAAATATATTGGCATGAAATCAACTCATAGCACAAAGGCAAAAAACAATTTGAGTGGGAAAGCAGATTACCTGTTGTTCTTCAGAGTGACCACTTCAACACCAGATGAGTTGAAAGCATCTGAAAATCTCTCCAACTTGCGCTTACTCATGCTGTGGTAAAACGTTAGTGAAATGAATAGTCATTTTCCTCATGGCCAGAAAGGAAAAAAAGCTCTGGAATCAGCTCAAGTTGATCTCAACAACCACATTCATTTTACATTCTGGACATTGTTACACAAAACTATCATAAGTACAAGTTCACCGACATCCAATTGAAATATGAGTGTTAAAATGAATACGCATGTCAATGGGATGTACGCAAACTTTGTCTTATGCCGGTTTCTTGAAACAATGACCTGGAGAACAATATGACATAATCTCTGGCTTTGATATGGTTTAATTTGCTAACCTACACTGTACATTTATCTAGTTGACTTTGATTTAGTACACCATGTATATTTTTCTTTCTCTATACATCTCATATTCCATTAAAAGCTGGAATACTCACAAGTCATGAAAACCTACATCATGGTTTCCAACAACGACCTTGAAATAAACATCAGGTGAATGGTGAAACATCTTCCTGAAACGCTTGGCCGTAGCTTCAAACTCCTGGTAGAAAAAGAATAATAATGGAAAATTGTGAGTTATGCAGGTTCCACAATATCACCCTCACTCATTCAGATTATCCTATAATGGAGGCCTACTCCTAATTAAACATGACTTTACTAATAGTGGCCCTTCTAACCTTGAATTTACAATGAACATTAGAGATTACAAAAAAAATTATATGTTACAAACAATTTTTTGGTAGAAAATGTAAAATGACTGAGTAATGAGCAGGCCCGTAGCCAAAGTATGATGTTTGTGGTAAAAAAAAAAAGGGGTCTAAAAAAGTTCTTGGAAATTTTTGGGGGGCATGTGCCCCCTCTCCCGTGCTCCTCCCCCCGTGGCTACGTGAGCAAATATAGAAAAGAAAATTGATCTACAAGTCCAAACCCATGTCACTTCCAACATGCAAATGAAAGTTACAGTACCTGCTCTTCAACAAAGCAAGTTTTCTTTGGTTTATAATTAACTACCGGTAGTACAACAAAAAAAAACAATCTCACAATACAATTTAAGCCAGGGCAGTTTCTCTAAAGAATGATTCCATCTGCAGAAGACAAGATTAGCTTTCTAAAAATCATGTCCTTACCATATCGCTAGCCCATTGGCCTTCATCAGTCAAGTCACCAAGAACAAATACAGCTTCAGGAGAAAACAAAGTCAATGATGTCTGGAAACCTCTCTCCATCTGCCATTCCCTGATAGAAAAATATTTTATTATAAAATAAATATGGTAAACAGTAACCTGGCCAGACTTGCTGGCTAAAGCCGCCAGCACAAGCAATGTATATATTTAGGGAAAGGAAAGACTTTTAGAAAACTTGAGAATAAATTGTATTTGAAATCATAATTCATTTGAAAGAGGTAATTAACAAGATATGAATGGCTTCATTCATTGGTACAGATAGGATTCAATGATGATGAATTCATTATAACTTAGGTTAAACTTATTATCAACTCATAAGTCATGCTCATTTTCTCAATTATCTTTGCTGTGTCACTTTGTTGACATAGAAATATATTTAAGGTTGTGAATTTTTGAAGTCAAAACTCTTGTTTTTACTACTTTTTAGACTATGAAAAATAAAGACCAAACAAGAGTGATGTAAACTCAAGCAAAACGAGATTACAATTAAACTTTAAAAAGATAGAATTTCATCTATAAGTTACCCTATTTTGGCTTTTGCCTTTGATAATTTTGGGGTGATTTTCCACACACAAAAAAGTGCATTGTAAAAATATCTCAATATATTGGGATGTTTACCTTCTTAACTTGTCAAACCAATGACCAAGGCGACTTCCTAACAAGTGAGTATCTGCTATGAAGATTGCCCTCAAATCTTCAACGTTTTGCTCCTGCTCATGTTTCGACGAGCGGGTTTCTCTATTCACTATCGCCGGACCTCTTGCGGACGAGCCGAGTGGCTTTCCGCTGAAGAGCCAAGCAGAATCGCTGGTTTGGCCATCATGTTTATAGTTCTTCCCAACGCTTATATCAGGCCAAGAACATTGGAACATTACAACATAGTAAACAAGGTATTCACAAATAAATATTACAACTCCAATGCATGTGATAAACCACAAAATCGGCTTGAAGAATGTCGAGATACCGGCCATATCTTCGACTTGACTTTGTCTGCTCCTGACTGACTGTACGCAGTATGAACAAGAGCGGTCGGAAATTATTTCTCGAGAAAAGGCCAGCCAGGCTCATGAGCTGCATGCAGGAGTTATTTTCTTCCAATTTCGGACCATGATAGCTCCATAATGATCATTGGTTCTAATGTTTTGGGGTTTTTAATTCGACGTTTTGAAATTTGCATTATTATGATGCAAATTTCCCTTTTGGGTCTAGATTAAACCAGGGAGATGGGAGGAACGTCTGGTAGAGACGGCATTATGCATGGCTATAGGAGGTTTCCTATAGAGCACTTGTGATTTCTAAGCTGGAGTGAAGCCTTAAACTACCAAAAAACAGTACTGGCAGCAGCGCAGCGGGACTGGCAGTAACACCTTGTGCTGTTTTTCTCCTTTCTCCGATATAAGTGCAGACCATAGAGATATATAACTACCAAGGTGCAGACCTACACTTGCTCATTCTCACGACGTGTGCACCAGAGATTCCTTTAATACGTTATATTTGAAATGTTTTGTTAGGTTCGTTTTTCATAATTATGAACTATCAATAATGTTCTCTTGATACCTGAAATGGCTGTTGCTCGCAAGTGCCCAATAATTATAGCCCCCATGATTTCCCCGTCGAGGAAATTAGAGAGCACAATCGGAGGGCCTTCAAATTACACACCTCTATCCTTCAGTTCGCACTTTCATTTTGAAGAGAGCAACTTGTAGACAACCAGTATTTCATTGGTATCACCTAAGCACAGTCAACACTGTATGTTTACAAGATTAAGAGTTATAGAAATAGATCAGTGCTACAAAAATGAATATTCCGCTGGCTTTTTAAAGGAGTCGCTACAACGTCACTGTCTTTTGAATATACTTGCCAGGCTGATATAAGCCGTTTCAACTCCCATAGCGATATCTAATAAGTGGTTTAGCGCCACCTCTTGTTTAAAACAATATAATGAGAACGAATGATAAACTCAGTGGGTGAGTGTTCATCGACTGATTTTTTTAATTTCATTCCCCCCCCCCCTTTTTTTCTCCGTTGGCGAGACTAGAAATTGACTGATCCTCAACTAAACTAAGATCCTACTAAAAGGTTTATACTAAAATCTAAACTAAGAAAACACCTCTTATGACCAGTCCACTCATGTTATATTCAATGATTCCAACGAATAACCGAGAGTTACGTGACAAAACTTTGTAAAAAAATGTTTTGAATGCATAAAATTATACTGCTCGTTTTTGTCCATTATAGATTTCATCATTTTACATTTTGTCAATTAATATATATCATTATGATAAAAGGCGGAATCGACCCCTTATATGTATGTATTTATGTTTATTTTTATGAAGAATAAAATTAATACCATACTATATAATAAGGTAATGTAATTGGAGGCAGAATAAAAAGTATATGAAGTTTGAGAAAAGCGGTCAATGTCAGTATCATTAATAATGTGAGGGAAATTCCGGGGAATTCCCTTTATCCCGGCAGTAATAAATCAAAGAAAAATGTTTATGTCCTTTTCATGACAATCAGGAAAAGAAGCTGATTGTTAATACACCCTTCTGAGTTATGATTACATTAGAAATGAAAAGAAAAAGACATAGAAATGAAGAGAAAATGAGAGGGAAATAGAAGGAGGGGGAGAGAGAGAGAGAGAGAGAGAGAGGGAGAGAGAGAGAGAGAGAGAGAGGGGGAGAGAGAAAGAGAGAGAGTGTGAGAGAGAGAGAAAGAGAAAGTGGGAATGCTTCGATCATGAATTCACGGCTCTACTATTTAAAAACGGACAAAATCAATAGAAGTAGGATATAATCTATGACTATTTGCTACTCTTCATCTATTGCTCTGCTACAAGTTTTGGGTTTTCAAAATGTGAAATGAAGTAGGCCTATTCAGATAATTACTACGGATGTAAACTGGGACACTTGCACACAAATCCTTTACAGCAGCCTCTTCTAACAAGCTTAGTGCATATTAGTACGGCGGTAGAATAAGAAGAAATAGCTAAAAATACGTGTACTAAAAGTGTAAGCTACCGCTATAGCATGTCTTTAGAAGTGCTAGCAAAAGTGATATGAAAGTGATAGGTTTCTATTCACATTGCAATGCGTCAATTAAGAATTAATTTGGCTTTAATATGAAATAGATCTATGAAAGTATGAGACTACAGCCGTATTTTAATCTTGTGATTGAAAAAATCGTAACTTTCATATTCTATGTCTGATTTTGTGTGTTTTTTGGATTCCCGTGATCTTACTCAGGCCAATCATGAGCTCATTATAATTATGAAGAAAAAAATTCGGAGAAAGAGAGAATTATGAATCATTTTCATTTGCAATAAGAATTCGCAATTTCTTCATTTGACAGATACCATAGCTATCTACGTCGTTCGTCAACGTCGAACGAATTGAACAACAGAACACCTCCAAAACACGAAAGTTTGCAAGGCTCGTAAGTATTCTCTACTTGTTTTTTGTTGAAATTAAGATTTATCAGTACTTATGTATTTATAGAAGTATAATTAGTGAATAATTTGGTATGAAACAGTGTTTGTAAGGATTCGTAAGTGAAGTTTATAGCTCAAGTTTATGTCGCAGCGACGATGTCATGCTAACTAGTGCCATTGGTTTTGCATTGAATGGAAATACTGGTCACTGTGACGGTGACTCTGCATCCGATCGCCCCGCAGCTCGGCGAGATTCGGCTGCGCCGCGCCGGTGACTCGAATAGCCTTACGGACGCGGACTTTGAGATATATGAAATATGATAATGATATCACCAGGCCTTACATGGCATATATTCGCTTGTGTCATGTTTGTGGAGAGCCTTGTAATGTGGATTTGATAATCCTTTCTCATTCCTGCACATGAATAAGCTTTTAAACTACCTTCGGCTTTCGCTAAAGCCAAACTAAGCAAAAGATTCTTCTTGTTCTTCTTCTTCTTCTTCTTCTTCTCCTTCTTCTTCTCCTTCTTCTTCTTCTTCTTCTTCTTCTTCTTCTTCTTCTTCTTCTTCTTCTTCTTCTTCTTCTTCTTCTTCTTCTTCTTCTTCTTCTTCTTCTTCTTCTTCTTCTTCTTCTTCTTCTTCTTCTTCTTCTTCTTCTTCTTCTTCTTCTTCTTCTTCTTCTTCTTCTTCTTCTTCTTCTTCTTCTTCTTCTTCTTCTTCTTCTTCTTCTTCTTCTTCTTCTTCTTCTTCTTCTTCTTCTTCTTCTTCTTCTTCTTCTTCTTCTTCTTCTTCTTCTTCTTCTTCTTCTTCTTCTTCTTCTTCTTCTTCTTCTTCTTCTTCTTCTTCTTCTTCTTCTTCTTCTTCTTCTTCTTCTTCTTCTTCTTCTTCTTCTTCTTCTTCTTCTTCTTCTTCTTCTTCTTCTTCTTCTTCTTCTTCTTCTTCTTCTTCTTCTTCTTCTTCTTCTTCTTCTTCTTCTTCTTCTTCTTCTTCTTCTTCTTCTTCTTCTTCTTCTTCTTCTTCTTCTTCTTCTTCTTCTTCTTCTTCTTCCAGGAAAAGTACAGTCCACCGTCCGGTGTATCACGTACTGTATGCAGGTCTGGTGTTGTGAATGTACAGTGCAAATTTAAAACTTGCTACAATAGACTATTTTATGTTAACAGTAGACTTCTAGGACTAGGGGCGCTGGTCCGAGAATAAGGATTGTCAGCATAATCGAGGAGCATCTTCGTAAATGCACACAGATGCATCCACAAAAATAAGGATCGTCCGCATTTTCAGAGATGTAATATATTTCCAATCCGTGCGTTGGAGATGTGAAAAACGGATTCCGTAATGATTTTCTTGATGCATTGTACATTGACTTTGGTTACGTTGAATGTGACTGACGTGCGATTTACATGACAAAAACAACCTCTGGCAAGATTTGTTGTCAATGAATATCACAACATCGGACAATTATCATTGTTGCTGTTGTTGTTAATATTTAAATCATCATTATTGATGTTGTGGTTTTTATTCTCATTTTCTCTATCTACAGTAGTCTATAGCTGCAAAAAATAGTTTACGCCATAACCATGAGATCATATTTCTTTATTTTGGTACTTTCCAGTGTCTGCTCTCTGCCAAGATTGAATGATCATCAAGAGATTTAAGACATGTGAGAGAGGAACTTTGTGTGTGTGTGTAACCAGGAGACGATGAGATGGAGAGGTCTTACGATGAAGACATCACAGAGAACCGCTTCTTTACAACTCTTCAGAATAAACACAAGCATTTGTATCAACAAGCAACTCAACAGAGATTTATGGTAAGAACTATTTTCTTTTTACAGGGATTTAGATATGTTAGGGAATGGTTCAACTTTGATTTGTTAAACTTTCTTTAATCTTTAGCTGCTTGTATCACTGATATTGCACCAAAGCAAGTTTACTTTTTTTCCCTTCTATTGACCACATCAAGCATTTTAGTCTGGAGATGATACAAGGCAATGTGTTCAGATTAGTCAATGACACAATGTCTTGTTGTTGATCTGATTCGGTTTTCATTTTGAGATGTTACAGTTAATAAAATGACTAGAAATGAGTATATCATTCTCTGAATAACATTCCATTAAAACGTTCAGAGAAGTGGAAAATCTTCCAATTCAGAAGGCAGAATTTTTTAAAGATTTTTTAATCTGAAATGATATACTGGTTGTCACACATTGGTCAAGATATCAAGACAAGGCTTGACACTTGACAGTGGTGTGGCCTGAAAGCCCCTTGTCACCAAACTGCTAGGTTGGGCAACCTAATATGGTAAAAACTAAGAGAAGTAGTTTCACATGTCAGGCAACCCGTACTTTTTGAAAACTAGATATATTCTCATACATCATCATGTAAGTGTAAGTTTTGCTTCATTTTACTTCTAACATGATTTGTAAGCTACCGGTACACTGAAGACAGGGAATGCAGAATGAAAAGGAGAGAGGCACATTTCACAGAAAGTTAACAGCACGACTATCGTTATACACTTTTCTATAATTTGTGTTCTTATTTCAGATATGTGTCCCAAGAACTGGTGTATTTACCAGGATATCATTAAGCCAGAATGACTTTGAAAATCACATCTTAAGACAAGAAGATGAACAACTCAGCATCTATGAAACGCTCAATAAAAAGGTAAGAATGATTCTTGTGGGAACATACTGCATTCAAACATTTCTGATTATCATTTTGTAGTACTTTTGTAAACTGACAAAGAGAATTGAAACATATCTCAACCTCCCTCCACTTAAAATATTTTAATTTTGCATGAAATGATAAATAAATGTAAATTGGATGAAACAGAAAAATTTGAGAAACTGAATAGTGAAATCTAAATAAAAGGAAACTGAAAGTCATTCATGTTACACATTTTACATAACTAATAATGGAGAATCTCCTATTGGCAACATGGGTATGCCAGTGTTGTGTATAGTAGCTTAGTGTATAGGCCTGAGTCATAATGGTTTTCCTTTAAACCGGGTCCCATTTCTGTGTTAGACAGTCGTACAGATTTTGCATTGAATTTGTAATTGCCCAAATCTTGACTACCGGTACACCAGATAAAATTTCATGCTACAGTTCATTATCCAATAAAAGATGCCGGCCATTCTATTTTCTCATTCAAGTCTATAGATTGATGAAGTCATGATTTTTAAATCATCTTTTTTTCTTTTAAAATAGTTGATTTCTGAATTACGATTTAGCAATTGTACATTTGTGATCACGGTCACAAAAAATTCACTGTGTGTAAATTTCTTGGCATTTTTACATTTCAAATCCTCAAATTAAACCATTTCCTTTGTACTACTTTATTCAGCTTTTCCAAATAATTTTCTCGCCAGTTTCTTTCAAAATGTACCAGCATATACCAGATAGTCCTCCTGACAGTACATGTAGTTTCTTACGTTTGCGTTTGAATGGTTTGAACATTTCTTAAACCATCCAATATATGCTACCCGTATGTCATTGCCTAAAGGAACAAATGTGTACAAATTTTGTTCTATTTCTTATCTCATACAGTATTACTGTGCAAAGTTCAATCTTGTTCCTCATGTACAAATAATTTGTTGTGAATGAATTAATTTGTACTTGTATTGGAATTTGTTTGTAGAACTTATCAAATTATCAAGAACTGATGTGTTCAATTTCTTATCTCATGCAGTATTACATTGACTGTGCAAAGTTTGACTTGTTCGTCGTGTATAGAAGATTTGTGTGAATGAACTGATTTGTGCCTGTATTGGAATTTGTTTGTAGAACTTATCAAAGGTAGTCAAAACAAAATCAATATTGTCTATGCCTGAACTAGCCGTGAAGGTAACACCTTGTGATGTATTTAGTACCTTATATGTAAAAATCTATTTTATTTTAAATGTTGTAAAATGGAAAATAGGTCTGAATTTTCATATATAAATATCATATGTACTGTACAACTGTACATCTCCACATGATTTTCAATGATTGCAAATTATAATGCATGTTTATGGCAGCTCTTCTAAGTTCATATAAATTCACTTAAAGCTTGTAGTGTATCGATCACCAAAACATGTTATGCTCTAGATATAATGGGTTCCATCATCCATGTTGCTACATGTACATGTATACAGTATTCAAAATATAAGCTTAAAATAGTACTTCTACAAATTGCAGTTTAAATAATTCCTTTGTGAACAGTAAAACATCTTTTTGAGTAGACTACTGTAGCTAACTTACTCACAGGCAGTCGCATATAGGCTTGCAGCCTTGCACGGTCCAGCACGGAATCCAAGTTGGACTTGGGTCCAATGCGTCATGCGAGCCCTAAAACCAGGTTTTTTATTTTATCCTTTATTGTCTTCATTCTCTTAATCTGTTTACCCATCTAATAAATACTGGGCAAAGTTTTTTGGGTTGATTTTTATAAATTCCATCTGTACACATAATATTTATTGTTGTGACAGACCTACTTTTTAAAACAAAAGCAAGAAGATTGGCTGGAATGTAGCTCTTTTTTCTTCTTTTTTTTTGCTTTGTTTTTGGTTGTTGCTCAGACTATCATGAAGTATTATGCTCTTAAAAAGTATTTTAAAAAGATTCTGCAACGGATAATCCGAACAATTTTCCTTTAAAGATGAAGTTGAGTTCTGGTCATGCGATTGCATTGTGAAAGGAACGGTGTGGAATCAACCAGAAAAGGTTGATCATCTAGCATATAAGAATTTGTGTGTATTGCAAGGTTCTGGAATCATCAAAATGATAAGAAATTTGGCTAAGTCTTGGTAAAGTTACAAACACTGTACACAGAAAGATGTATATGGGACTACATGAAAATGTGGCATAAAAATCCTACCCCCGAGTTTTACGATGTTACATGACATATAATATGAAGGCATTTGAAGAGCCATGCTTTTCAGGGAACATGTCTAATCTGATGTTCTTCCACACTTGCATAATAAGAATGATAACGCTCACAAATTATTTTTCACCTCTTCCCAGAACTCAACCTTCTCTTTAAGGTAGACTTTGCAGTGTATATAATTGTATGTGTACAAAAACAGTTATAAAAATTGTATATGTGTATATAGAGGAACAAAATATGTCCCGAGAGATATCATGTGAGGATGACTCAAGTTCCATTCTCTTCAAAATTACAATCTAGCCTGCTTTTTCAGACTCTTATCTAAGAGTACATGTACATAATATAAGTTGATGTTTGGTGGCTGAAGCATTAGACCAGGAAGATTAACTCTCAAAGTGCTCATTAAAACTTTTAACATTTTAAGGAACTCTTTGATAAACTACATTCAGTTGTACAGTCAAACCTGCTTTAGTGACCACCTGTCTACAAGAACCACATTTTTTGTTTCCCTTGAAAATGGTTTCTCATTGAAACATGTACGAAAGGAACCTGTCTACAAAGACCACTTTTTGTGTTTCCCTCGGGCGGTCGCTATAGACAGGTTTGACTGTACATTTGTAAATTTTGTCCAGTTCTTTTATTAGTCAAGACACCACCATTTATCATGAGGTGTGATTAACATGGCCTTGTGCCTCTAGACTACTGATACAGGTGTAGGAAATAGCGAGACATCTGGGTCAAGGTTTTGGTTTTGTTTGTGTGTGATATTAATTGACAGATCTAGGGATTCCCTGTCAAATTTCAGAAATGATTGTTTCTTTGATAGGATAGTTTTTTATAAACTGTACTTGATCTTTCTTTCAAAAATCCCTCTAGCCCTGCTAGAACTGTCCTTAACATGTAGTGAAACTGGCTTCTGCGACATGTATTAGATAAATGATGAATCTGTACATATTATAAACTACCCACCATAAATGCCATTTTATTTTGATAAAGATCACTTTTCTTTTTTTTTTATTGTTGGATCTTCACAAGGTTACATACATTGCCTATACATTTTGATATATACCGGTAGTACACATGCAATATAAATATACCAATTGCATTGCACACATGTAAGATTGGATCACTTTAAGTGGGCAATGCTGTAAGCAAACTTTTTCTGAACAATTTTAGAAATCAATATACAGGTATCAAGTAGGCTACATGTACAAGTTATTTTCTGATATTTTAGATTTATTGCACACAACAAGGGTGCAACAAAAATATAGCTGAGTCATAGATCTACTCAATGTAATTGAAAATGATAATGAAATGATCCTGCACTTGCTCATGATTTAGGCATGATCCAATTAAATTTACATCAAATTCAAGGACATGAGGGGCCTACTTCCCTATCGTTTGTTCAGAGACAGAAGGCATGAACTTATGTGCCAAAAGATAAGCGTTAACGTCCTTCTGGCTCCAAACTGCTCAGCATTCATGCATTTTGTGATATCAAACATTGACATAGACTGCCTATATGACCTTGCCCAGGGAAAACTTTGCTATTGAAAAAAACTACCTTGACTTTACTGGTTGTTGTCTGTGTTTTGATAGTGCAGTTGGCATTGGAATATGCATTGTAAATGAACAAAGTAATTATTCTGTACTGATACTACTGAATGTGCTTGTGCATGTATGTTTTTGATACTGAGTCATCGTCAATTCTTGGTCTATGTTTTACATTAGATTCTTTTTATGTTCATTGACCATTACCCTTTTGAAAAGGCTTTGCAGCTCCGGTTACATTTCCTTTTCAGTCCTGATAAGCTAGGTGATTATGGCAGTGGATCATATTGCATTTGCAAAGTAATGCCCGATAATAAATAGGGATTTCGTGAAATTGAGCTACTCTGAGTACAAGCTTGCATACCGTATGGTGTATTTATAGCATTGGCATTATATGTTCAACAATTTGTACAATGCTAAGTGACAGAATGGCTGAAAATATCAATGTGAAATTTAGAATCCACGTGCACCAGATCACTTGAGAGTTGGAGAACTGTGACTATCCTTATTTCAGTTCAGTGAGACATAAATGCCTATACCAATATTCTCAAAGTCAAAGCTGTATTTTAAGATTTAAAAAAGACTTTTCTCCCCATTTAAATTAAATGATTAAATACATGAAGTGCATGCACATACATGTTTATTTCAAACCATAATGATGTCTAATAATGACCTGCAATTAATATTTTTGGTGACTCTTTATTGCAAAATTACTCACTGGCTACATGATAATACTTATAAATCAATATCTGCCCACACTCCATTTATTACATGTATATTATGGTAAGTTTGTTTTTATGCTTAGCTTCAACTTGTCACTTGTTATCTCCTTTATATTCAGTCCCCTTTTTTTCTTCATTTGTGGTCATATTTTATTGATTTCCAATGATCTTTCTTCTTCTATTTCCCCCATTCTTTGTTGAATAAGGTATTCTTTATCTTTGTATCTTTATATGTATACAGAAAGCAAAAGTAACTGGCATAGCTATTACAACTGGAGAGGGATTTAAAGAGTCTAGATCTGTAAGTATATGCAAAAGAGTGTAATTCATGTGCATTCTGTAGAGTCAACAGTTATGATAATATATGTGTTTGCATACCTCAGTTTTGTTTCAGTTTGGATTGAGTCACACCCACATGCAGGGAGGAGAGAGAGAGGGGGAGGAAGAAAGAGATAGAAAGGGGAGGAGGAGGGGGAGAGAGAGAGAGAGAGAGAGAGAAAGAGAGAGAAAGAGGGGAGGAGGAGGGGGATGGAAAGAGAAAGGGAGAAAGAACGATAACAAGGGAGAGATGTTGAATACCAAGAAAGAGGAGAGAGAGAGAGAGAGAGAGAGAATATGGGAATCAAGCCATTATTACCAGACAACATTTAACTAATAATGTTGATGTACATGTTCATATACATGTATGTAGCATGGTGCATGCACTGAATGTGATGTGTATTCATACATGTTAACGATGCAAAGGTCATGATAATCATTAATATCATACCGGTAGTTAGTGTAGTAATGATTGCCATTCATGTCATAATATCCTGAATGACACAAAATATTGGCTACACTGCTGACCTTAAAAATCCAATTTTAGTTGCATTAGGATGCTCTACGCAGCCATCAGCACATATGAGTTGAATGTCTTTCTTTATCTCTTTTTTTGGTGGTATTCCAGGTTCACATCTTGTTTGACGAGACATTTTACAATGCCAACGAGGAGAGCTTTAGAGTGCTCTGTATTGACAGACTGCTGGAAGGAGGAACAAGTAAGGCACATTTGTATATTTAATACCAAAGCAGTTTCCACCTTCTCCCCATAAAAAAAGAATAATGAAGTGATTAACTGTATACATGTAATATGTGAAATGTATATGAAATGCTTGGAGTCATTGTACGAGTGCCCCCCCCCCCACTCCCCCAAAGAAAAAAAAGGTCATCTGATTTGTACAGATCTATATATACCTTTCTACTGAGGAGGGGGGGGGGGGGGGGTTCTGACAAGCACATGCCCTCTCTGAAAACCCTTAGAAATCCCCTGGATCTGCCACTGCACAAATGTGTACACATGGATTCCTCTAGAAAATGTTTACTCAAAGGTGAATTACTCTCAAAAGAGAATCCATCTCATTAACATTATTAGTATGGGGAATGTACAAATATGTGTATGTGAGGCAAGGGAAAGGTGCATTTCTCTATACAGCGATCCTGTATACCGGTACATAAAGACCACTCAAAGAAGACAAGGAAAGTGGTCTTTGCTCTTTCTCAGGAGCAAGTGGTCTTTATGAACAGGTTCCTTACATGCATGTTTCAATAAGAAGCAAATAGCCTTCCTTTACAGGTGGTCACTAAAGCAGCCGGGTTTTTAACGACATTTTGTAGATTTTAATTTTGACCCCATTATAGGTAACCCCTGGGTTCAAAGAATTAGAACAGTACCACCCCTTTATATCTGTGTCATGTCGGCTAAACTATGACGTACATAGGATTAATTTACCTTATTACGAAGGTGCCACCTCAAAAGATACAAGATAACCATCAGTTGTGAGAGTAGGACTGTGGATAAATATATGCAAAATAGTTTGATATGAATCTGTTTAAAATCTAGGGTGTGAGCAAAAACTGAGCATCACGACTTAAGGTTACGTAGAGTAGCAAAGTTATGGCTTTTATAATTATCGGTAGATCAACTGATAAAGTTTCTAATACGTCTGTGAGGAGTGACTTTGTTGTTTTCGCTTAATTCAAACTGGTCTAGATTAATTTTGATGACCCTTCATATTTATTGTGAAATATACGTCATTAAATTTCTTGAGTCAGATGATCGCTACGCTTGATTTCTTGAACTCTCTAATATTACATTGCTATGACCCAAAACAATTATTTCGAAGAAAAGGGAGGCAATTTGAACTCATTTTGTTGGTAGTTCATTTTTATATTTTCACACTTGCTTGCATTTTGCCTTTGGTGTAGTATCATTTGTTTTCTCTTCTTTGTCGTGAGTGGTTCATTAGGAGGTCTTGTCTCTCTCTCTCTCAGTGTTTCTGGGTTACGTCAAATGGAGACATTCATAAAAAACACCTGAAAAACTAGTGTACGGTACATATATTATCTTTGAAAGAGACATTTGTCTAACTTGAGCAACATGGTTGGATTTAGTTTCACTGGATCATTTCTAACCGACTGGTGGCCTTTTGAAGAGGATGTTGAATATTTTGATTGTAAGTAATATACATTTATGTTAGTGAATGGTCCATTTCAATGGATTAAGTGTCTTGGGAGGGTGTCAAATTAACTGTATGGGTGTATCTTTTCTCTATGCATTACCCTACTTTTTAATGGATTGTTTTATTTATTTATTTATTCATTCATGCATGTTCACAATTTTACAATCCATTTGAATTGATTTCACATGAAAAAGAATATAACAATGTTTTATTTTTCTTGTGTTTCATATTTTTTCTGCATGAGTAAAATCCGTATTTGAAATCTGTTTGTCTTTTTTCTTACTGAAGGATCTGGAATGAATAATATCTGGTTGACCTTTTACCATCCTGTTCCTGTGTTTATATTTATTTGTGTAACCTCCAAAATAAATAGCTATTTTATCAAGATTATCTTGCTTTACTACCCTATCATTCATTAAATTTGTCTTTCAGCTTTCCGCTGTCATCATACCAAACCGGATATATTATTGACCTTCAGAGGTTCTGCAGATCTCTTATTGACATATTTGTACAAATTCAGGGGTCATTTTTAACTTTACATGTACCGTATATGTCCAATTTGCCCTGTTCCCCCTGACTTTGATAGAAACTGCTTTAAAACCTGACATGAACATCCTTTAACAATTTAATGTCAATCTAGTACTCAATGGATTTTATAATTGTATATATTATATAGAGTACCGAAGCTGTGACATAAAAATCTATTTTTAGAATTTCCCAATTTTTTCTTCATATTCCGAAAGACCATCAAAAATAATGTCCAAATGTCGAAAACCAATTAGTATTGGCTGAGATATGACCATCTGAATAAATATACTCCCCATAGGAACTCAGTGTTATATGCTCTGGCTCCTAATGGTTAGGAGCCAGAGCATATAACACTGAGTTCCCATAGGACATATATTCATTCAGATGGTCATATCTTAGCCAATACTTAACATATTCAATTGGTTTTCGACATTTGGACATTATTTTTGATGTTCTTTCGGAAAATGAAGAAAAAATTGAGAAATTCTAAAAATAGATTTTTGATGACGTCACACTTCACCACTCTATAGAAATGTGAACACTTCATTTAATTTGATCAAATAAGATTTTGTTGTAATTAATTCGAAACAGACAGAAGAAAATGACAATGAAAATTTTATTTCACCATATGTTTTGTTCTAAACCTAAATTTTCGAGGTATGAATCATTTTAAAGAACATATTCCCTGGTTATACGAAAATCATGATCACAAAGATGTAGAATATATTGTGATATGATATTCATTTTTTTTCTTCAGATAACATTGAAGATCCAGTGCTCACCTGCCTCGAGACCTATGAAGATTGCTGTGAATTTCTTTGGGGGAACAAACGTAAACATCACATCATGCTTATTAATTAACTACTTGTTATAGCTTAAATTATTACATTTATCATACTGAAGTGCCATTATATTTGTGAAAAATCAACTCGTTTTATAATAAGTGCACATTTAGAGTACTGTAGCATTGATTTAGTAATACAACTGAGAAAGTTGATAAGAGATGTCATGTGGAGATATTGAGTTAGTGTGATATGTGACTGAAGAGACTATTTTATCTTAATTACTGAGAGGAACTTTCAGAAATTGGATCCTATTCAAACCTTTATCATATCCCGAATATAGGATTACATCTTGACATCTACAAGCTTTCATTTGAAAAAGAATTGCCTTTGATTAATTTATGTCAGTACCGGTATGTATATTCATTAATTTCTGCTGTATGAATATGTCATATATAATTTCTGTATTTGTTCCTGTGCTTATTTATTTCCTTTGGACTATATATTTTGTCATCTGTTTAGAGACACAAGGGCATTAAACTACATGTATCCCCTATCCGTTTTACACCAAGTCACATATAATGTCATTATGACTCGCAACAGGTGTCGTATGATAGAGTGCATTGAAGCCTGCATTTTATAGTAATTAACAATTGGTACTTTATAAATTATCATTGATTATCCTTGTTATCAACATGCAGACAGCAAGACATCGCAGAAGAAAGTAGACGACCTCATGGAGCACTTCTGCAGCACATCCCAGAAAGCCGATACCCTGAGACAGATCATAGATGCTACCAGTACACTCTTCACCAAATGCATCCAGATCGCTCTTAAAGATGTGGTCCTGGTAAGTCAGTTGGGTTCTTTTACTTTAAAGCTCCACTGCACTACTTATAGCTACTTGCGCAAACAATGCCTAATCGATGACCATTGGTCCCCCATGATCCCCTTTTTCTTACGTTAATTGAGAGCTTATTGATGAGATAACCACCAGTCAGTGACCATGCATGGAGGTCTAATCCCTCCTGGCCAAACTAGTGTAGTGGGGCTTTAATAGAAAAACTGAGTGTTTTATTACTGATTTTGTCCTTGCTAACCGTTGGTGCAGGTTGGTGTATTCTCTAACATTTTGAGGACAACTTAATGGGTATGATTTATTTTTATGTACACTTAGAGAATGAACAAGTACATGTACATTTTTTGTACTAAAATCAAAATGACTTTGGACTATAATGTTTGTATATTTACATGTACGAACAATTCCAGAAAAAGTAACACAAAGTCATGCAGTGAATTTGAAATTTGCATAGATTGTTAGTATGCATAATTGTACTTTTGACTTAAAGTAAGCTTTGATTCCATAATGATAACATTTCAAGAGACTGAATCTTACATGTTTCTAATGGGCTATCCAACCGTTTGTCTATACTCTACACATTTATTTACTTTCTTATATTTGAAATGTGTTTAATATATATGTTTTTAAAACTTGTATGTATATATGGATTTCAGAAATAAAAATTATCAAAAAAACATGTACATTTGTTCTGAGTGTGTTGATTAGCCCCCCCAAAAGTTTGAAATATTGACATTGTGTTGACTATGTTAGACTGCGAGAGAACTGTATTAAAATAGAAGTTATGTTATTTCTTGTGTTTTCTAGCGTACAATGCAGAAGAATGCAGGCCACATGGATAACCTTAAGATCGCCATGGAAACCTACATCATGAATGGAATTTACACCAAGGTTTTCAAGGCTGTCAGTCAGTTCTATGCAGTAGAGGTATGTCTTAACATTAGCATGGTTTTATTTTTTTAATATTTTTTTTAGGGGGGAGGGGTTGGGGTCTTCATTCTGTAGTTCATTAATTTGCAAATTTGTTGTCCCATGATAGAACTAGAAGTCAATTCATATTCATTGGTTGATGCTTGATTTTTGTGATGATTAACATTCTTTTTATATTATGGAGTTTTTGAGGGTGATGGTGTGTCATCTGCTAGTACATTTTGAAAAGATCATTCCTTTCATGAAAAGCTAATGAATAATTGTTATGATTTATTTTTTAAAGAATAAAATAACAGCAATAATGGTTAACTACGTTCAATTATCTTATTCATGTTGTGTCAATGAGTGATAGACAAAAACAAAATGTTCAAATACATTCCTTATTCAGAGGAACATTGACTGTCACATTTGATAATTAAATTGGCTTATGAATTAAATGTTTAGGAGGAATCAATTTTTCATAGGGAATTCATGTACCCTGCATTTTATTATAATTCGCATTGAAACACAGGCTTCAAGTAGAATATTCATATCTTTGAACTAGTCAAAGAGAAATAAAGCCTTCAACCTTCCCATATCTCTGCCCTACATGTTTGGGTCTCCATATGTTCCTATTTAATGGTTGGTTAGTCATGTGCATAGAATTCATCTTGGGATTGGTGATGCATGAATCTTGGATTGAGGTAATTCAAGGTTGGCAGACAGAAATATTGAATAATGGAATGTATTGAGAGCATGACGATAATATTAAAGATATTACTTACCTATCCAGATTCAAGAACAATAAATATAAGTGATTGCACTCTTCACAAATCTTAAAATTGTTTGAATAAATTTATTTTACAATTTCAGGCGAAAATATTATTTTTGACTGTATGGAGAAAAAAAATAGTATTTTGATTTTCAGTATGCTATTCGTAATCACACCAGGAGAAAATTTCACATGTAACACAATTTAATGTGTGATGATTTAATTCCAAGAAAAATGAAGAGATATTTATGTAAAATTTGATGCATGTAGGTGTGTGATTCATATTTAATTTGAATTTGTGCTTAAAGGTAAAGACCAGTTATGGTCATGTGATTGCATTGTGAAAGAAACGTTGTGGAATCGATCAGAAAAAGTTGATCATCTAGCATGTAGCATCTGCAAGGTTCTGGAATTATCAAAATGATAAGAAATTTGACCCATTCTTCGTAAAGTTACAAGCACTATACACAGAAAGATGTATATGGGACTACCCTATATCTCTCACAGACCATGAGAGAAACAAATTTACCAAATATATGAATTATTAGGCGGTTTCCCCGCAAATTTTTTATCAGCATGTATTAGTCAAAACATATTCTTTCACATGATTGGTAATGAGGGCTTCCATTTCATTTTTTGAAATTGGGGTGTTTCCAATACTGGTCTTTATCTTTAAGATTTTTTCTAATTTGATTAATGACTTGGTTGATTTTAATAATTTTATTGTTTTCCCAGGATGCCAATCTGAACAAGATAACCCGGAACCTGTCTGAGCTACAGGTGAAGGATGTCGGTGTGAGGTTAGAGTTCACCACGAATGTTCCAAGGGCTCGCAGAGAGATGTCGACCATTAATAAGTTCAGCACCCCACTCTGCAAGATGCAATGTCTGAGGAAAACGGTTCTTGCTATAACACAGCAGGGATTCAGAGGAAAGATCAACGATAGTGGTGAGTGGAAGATGCAGAATGGATGATATGAAGATGGTGATGGTGGTGGTGATGGTGGGGGTGATGGTGGTGGTGATGATGGTGGTGATGGTGGTGGTGGTGGTGGTGGTGTTGGTGGTGGTGATGATGATGAAGATGGTGGTGTGGTGGTGGTGATGTGGTGATAGTGAAGACAATGGTAATGGTAATGATGATAAAGACGATGATGACGAAGACGATATTTAGGAAGAGGACAATAAAAGATTAAATGATGATGGTGGTGATGATGATGATGATGATGATGATGATGATGATGATGATGATGATGATGATGATGATGATGATGATGATGATGATTGGGATGATGATTGCAGTGATGGTGGTGGTGATGATGATGATAAAGCTAAAGATGACGATGATGATGATATAGATGATATAGATGACGAGGAAGATGATGATGAAAATTATAATCCATACATGCAGGTCTGATGTATTTAGTTAATCAGCCTGGTCATGCAATATATATCTCACTATAAGCACTTTTAAGCTTTAAATTTTGAAATATTCTTGATGAGTTACTATTGCTGTTTAATAATTCACAGCTCGGGCGATGTCTTCAGATGACCTCCTGCCTCTACTCGTCTTCTTAGTGGTCAAATCAGACATCCCAAACTGGCTTGCTAACCTTTCCTACATGCAGAACTTCTGTCTCTCAAATTTTGCAGGTGGAGAATTTGGGTGAGTACAAGGAGATTTTGGAGGATCGTTGTCATATTTAGAATGTCTTATATAGCATTAAGATTTATTTATTCATCAAACATAAATTGTCTCAGTAGTAATGAAATGGGGTGACTCAATTATTAGTTGAGGAATTCATGAAAAATAGAATATTAAAAACTTACAAGGAGATACGCAAATAACAGACTTGAATAGATGGATGAATGCAGAATCTCTTTGTTAGGAGGTATCGATAGAATTCTGCCTGAAATTAGTTGTTGTTGATCACATGCAGTAATTTTTATTTTTATTCCTTGTTATATTTTTCTCTTTGAATTAAACATTTCTATTAAACACACATTCATCCCTCAGATTCTACATGGCATCGATCGAAGCAGCAGTAGAGCATGTGAAGTCCGGTGCCATGAGTAACTCCACCCCGGCCACACCCATCTCCATAGACCATTCTCGCTTCTCCTTGCCCCCGTCCTCCCCCTCCAAGTCTGGCTCTGAGCCTCTGTGGCAGAAGATAGACGCCTCTGACCATGAGAATACTCCAGCTGTAGATATCTTATTCCAGGTAGGTAGGAACTGTAAGGAATGAAGGGTTCAACATAGTTGAAGGTCAAATGACCCTCTTCAAAATCATGATGGCCCCTCACAAGATCCATATGTTTTGAACAGTCTCCTGTAAATGACCCCCTTGTATAAAAAAATAAAAAAACCCTCCCCCACCGAACCCCTCCTCCTTTTGAATACACCCCTTATATACATTGACATGTATAGCTATGTTGAGCCTTGAAGAGCCTTGAAGAATAATTCATGTATGGGGCTTTGACTTTCTGGCAATCTATGTTGAAGAAAATTATTGTATGTAATGCTCAAAGTGTTTTTACTATTACCTGAGGGGCGATAATTGCATACCTCCATCATACCTTGGTGACCTGATATAAAGCTCTTGTTCTTGCTCTCTATCAATCAAGTATGCATTAATCACTTGTATATAACTGCTCTTACTTTGTTTATTTAGTTGTTATCAATATGGCCTTTTAAAACTTAGTATATATTTAACAGTACAAATGAAACTAACACTTTTCAGTACGCCGTATATTCTCATGGCACTTCAAGTCAATTTTCACTTTTTCTTTCTCAGCGAGTGATGGAGGGAAACAAGAATGAAGTTGAAGCTATGTTAGAAGCGAGCAGTACAGATTACAGTTGGCTTATCAGCAAGATGTGTCATCCACTATGTTCTTGTGACAGCTGTGAACAGATCCTTGCAAGGTAAGTCAATACACTCTTCTTACAGTATGTGACAAATATGATCAAATCATACTTGTAGCAATCTGTTATGTTTGTTAGACACATGTGAACAGATCCCAGGTAAGTAAGCCAATCCAATGTGTCCATGTGATTAATTTGAACAGATCCTATCTAGGTATGTCAATCTAATACATGTATATGTGGAAATGTAAATATGTCTTAGCTAGTATTAAAGTCGATCCACTATGTTGTGACAAATGTGAATAGATCCTAGCTAGTCAGGTCAGTCCACGGTTATGAGGTTACACATATAAATAAATCAAAACAAGAACAAGCAATTGACAAATATGCCAATAAAGGCATTGCTCATTGAAAGATGACCTTAAAGGGCAAGTTTGACTCATTAGCAAGTTGAATTGAATATAATAGAGAAAAATTAAACAGACGGAAAAGAGTTTCATCAAAAATTTGAAGAAAAATAAGGGAGTTATGGAATTTTGAAGTTTCGCATGATGAAACAGTGATATGTATCACGTAAGCGGTTTGCAAACCAGCAAGTTGATGATGTCATCCCCTCACTACTCCCCATATATTTTGTTTACAACCTTTTTCTTTTCTTTCTTTGACACACCTGTGTAAAAAATTCTTCGTATTACAATAAGTTACAGTAGTGGTGATTTTGCACATATTCCATGAGGGGTTAAATCAGAGCTGCCAACTAGTACGGATTTCCCGTAATTGGTACGGAAATTAACGACCATTACGGAATGTTGTCTCAAATTACGGATTTAAAAAAAAAAAAAAAAAAAAAAAGATTTTTTTTTTTTTTTTTTTTTTTTTTTTTTTTTTTTTTTTTTTTTTTTTTTTTTTTAATGAATTAAATATGATTTATCGTAGCGAGTGCTGTGAATAGGAGCCATTTTTCATGATAAACTGTGTTGTGATGACCTGAAATTCAATACTTAACATCTTTGTGTGAGTAAAATCACCAAAAATTTCAGATAATCATGCGTCCGCGCAGTGTTGGCGTGTCGTTTTTTTTAGATTCATAGCGCCGCATAAGAAATTACTGATTTATACCCCAAATTACTGATTTTGAGCCTTGTGATTACTGATTTTCTGTTCTGGAGGTTGGCAGCTCTGTTAAATCCATGTTTACATTCTCAGGGTAGGAAAGTAATGTATTTGTTAACTTTATGTTCAAAACAGTCAGAGAAATGTTAGTTTTGTTTGATTTTTCTCTATTTACTCAACTCAACTTGCAAATGGACAAGACTTGCCCTTTAATTGGGTCTACAGTAACAATATTATATATATATATATATATATATATAGGGAATCATCAATGAGTATTTCCAGAAAGTTTGGGCGTACATAAACATGTACATGTATACCAAGAAATTTAACTCTTGATACAAGAAGTTAATTTTGTTGATTGCCATCTTTCTCCATTTCTTCTGTAGTAAGCGAAACGACCCAAGAGCAGTTTCAGCATCATCGAGAGACAACAGGGGTTGCACTCCTATGCATGCGGCAGCTGCTTATGGTAAGCTAAACAATTAGCTTTGTCAAAACATGAGTTTATGTTTATGTTTGAGGCTTTCTTCATTTCTTTTTGTAAGGCTATAAAATCATATAGTGTATTAAAGCAACATCCTGTGATTTTTCACCTCTTTAATTGAAAGAATTGTTGAACTGAGTTGTATGTCAATGTAACTGTTTGCTTTATTACATTCTATATGTAAGGAGTTAAAATGATTGTAAAATTATGTAAATTATTAAAATTTGCATTTACAGTAGTAACAGAATCTGTATTTGAGGATTTTTTAACACATAAGCTAAGGGAACAAATGAAATGTGTATGATTGTATGAAAAAGTTAAATTTTCACATGTGAAGAGCCTGTAATGCAAGACGTAATAGGCATATTACATGCAAGGAATAGAAGAAAAAACAAGGCCATTTTCGTTTCTGTAAATATCAAATATTGACCAATCACATGTCTTACATATTGTTCCATCCTCATGTTTTCCTATCAATCCTCCTTGTTTAGGTCACCCTGAAGTGATCAGTACCTTGATGAGACGAGGTGGTGAAGTGAACGTAACGGATTACCATGGATCAACACCGTTACATCTAGGCTGTCAGAGAGGGCATCAAGATGTCACAGTAAGTACTTCTTTAAAATAGCAGTATTTTCTTGTATATAAAGAGCTTAATTCCAAAAGGAACTAAATCCACTTTTGATGAAAATTGAGTTATTGATATCAGGACATTGCTCACTTAAGTTCCCGTCTTTCAACAAAATTTTCCATAGACGCCTATACAAAATCTGGTAAAGAATTTATTTTTTCTCTGAAGTTTCAAAAATGGATTTAGCTCCTTTTGGAATTCTTCATATGTAAATGTAAATTAAGTTTACAATGCAGTCGTTAACGATGCAGTTGTTAACAATATTGATCTTTACATTCTGATATGAGTAATTCAAGATTCATAAATGGCATTGTTCATTGCATTAAACAATACCAATACCACAATAGACAAAACCAGTGTACTAGGGGTGGTATCGCCTTCACTTTGATCAATGAAAGAAACTATGAGCGCCATTTAGGAAAAGTTTATTTTAGTAATTTTGTAGCTCAATATTCGTAAAGAAAAAGAAGGGGGAGGGGTCCTCATAGAAAGGGCTTCTTTTATGGCAGCTCTTCTTATACAGTGGAATTTACTTTAGTGTCTGTGAAGACTAAAATTGTGTGTTTTTCTTGAATTTTGTTTCCGACTTAAAACACTGATCCCTACAGTTCAACATTCTTCCTGTCCCCTTGAGCCTTCTTTATATACACGATTTAAACTGTTTGAATATGTATTTTATGATTACATCTCTCTTCCATACTCTAGTTACTACTGCTTGCTAAAGGATCTCTTGTTAGTATAGAAGACAACGATGGCAATAGACCATTGCATCTATGCTGTGCTAATGGGCATGAAGAGGTGAGAAAGTTTCCTAAAACTTAACCTTTTGCTATCCAATTATTTATGTGCTAGAATAGAAGAAAATTCATACTTTGTATTCTTTGACTTTCATTCTGAAAGTCATGAAAATCATCTCTTGTCATGAATAAGTTTGCATTAATTGTTTTTAAAAAGTCATGTTCTGGGAGCTTCGAAATTCCTGGGTTTTAAATTTTGTTTTTAACAGAAACATGTATCTCAAGAATATGACAGATTTCTAATGTACAAATTTATATCATTGGTTAAAGAGGCTGAGAAACACATGTTTGTAATGGGATTGAAAAGTAAAACTTAGATCAGATATTTTTAGCATGTAGAAACCTCCTTTACATCAATTCTTTTACTTGATCTATTAATTACATTTGTTCTTTCTTAATTTCTGAATTGATGATAAATGTTTTCCATGTTTCAAATTGGTCGAACTATTCTTAGTAAACGTTCCGTTCCTTTCCTTCCAGTGTGTGAAAGCATTGCTCTACTCTACCAGACCCTCCCAGAGAGTGTCTATCAACGCAACCAATACCAGAGGAGACACAGCACTGCATCTAGCATCCAGATGGGGATATGGTAAGACAAGTCATGAAAGATTTTAAAGGCATTGTTTAACAATGTTAAATCTGAGATGCACGGCTCTACGTGTTATCAGTGTCTGTGATATGGTGTAATATTGAAGCCCTAACAAAATTGCCCTTCAAAATGATCAAGAAGTGCCTCAAAAAGTAAAAATCTGTGAGTGACCAGTTTTACCATACCGTATTTGCCGGCCTAAAGGCCGCACCGCCGCATAGGCCGCACCCCCAACTTTGACATTTCGTAGAGAAAAAAAAAAAAGGAAAAAAAAAAAAAACGGACCAAAGAAAATAATTGTAATTTTCCCGTAGAACTCTATTTTTCCTACAAACTAATACCAAAATTATCAATCATTTTATAAATAAACAGGAAGTTTACCTAAAAAATGATTGTAATTTAGCAAATCTTCATCGATTTTTAGGCAGATTAGCACATTCATGGGACACTAGAGGGCGCTTCGCATCCATACAGAAACCTGAATGGCCAACCTATCGCAGGGTGGAAGCATGGTGGAAGGAATGATCTTTTTTATAATGTTATCCGGTCTTACCCCTATCGTACCGTCAAATGGAGAAAATAAACAAGCTTTTGTGTTGGTATTAGAGATCTACCGAGGTTAGTTTGTCGCTTTAATTAATTAGATAGTCTCAATTATAATTCAGAATTATCTTACTGAAAAGTTAAGAACACCGATGATTGCACGCTGTGAATCTCCGAAGGTGCGTTGGATTTGTTAGCAACTCCAGCCCCGTAGCTCCCCACCACAGAGTGTGTGAGTAACCTTACTCACACACTCTGTGGTGGGGAGCTACGGGGCTGGAGTTGCTAACAAATCCAACGCACCTTCGGAGATTCACAGCGCGCAATCCATCGGTGTTTTTAAGGACATTTTTACAACTTTACAAGTACGAGTTTCTGGTCAGTTTTCTTCTTATTTCTTTGGTTGCACAACGATTAAAAAGATAACTTCTTCAAATTTGCTGCTGACGTGGTTCAGACTAGATCTTGTCCGATGTGTTTTCAAGTCAATTTTTTATTGTATGAAGTTTTGACTTGCAATTTTTACTCTTTCGGCGTAAAGGCCGCACCCCGACTTTTTGATATTTTCTCTTCCAAAAATACTGCGGCCTTTACGCCGGCAAATACGGTACTCGTTTTCCCCAATAGACTGTTGTGTTATGATATGCAAAATTTGATTTCGATTTCCAATCATAAATATCTTGATAATCAGACAGGTGATGGGCTTGTAAAAGTTATGGGGTTCCTGACTGACCTAAAGGTTTGTAATTATCATTGCAGCATGAGCTAAATCCAGGATTTTGTTTCAGAATCTGAGACAAAGTTACCCAATCCCCTTAAAGAGGACTGAATAAGTGTTGGATATAATCTGTACGGCTCATCAAATGTGTTTTTATATTCTTATCCTTCGGCAATTCTCAATTACCTGATTATGTTGAGATGTATGCATACATGCATACTTCTATACATTTGAACAATGAATAGCTTAATGAAATTGTAGTTCAGTGGGACATTTCTCTTTTTTTTCATCATAAGGATTAGATGCATAAATTGATTATCAAAAACAATTTACAATCTGACACTAGGAATTCAGGATTATATACCAATTCATTCGTTTTAAATATGTACATGTAACTGATGTCAATTAAAATGTGACTTAAACCACACTGTAGCTACTTGCTCCATCTATATAGAAAACAATGCCTAATCAGTGACCATTGTTCCCCATGATCCGCTTTTTCTTATGTTAATTGAGAGCTGAGTTGATGAGATAACCACCTGTCCAGTGACCTTGCAGAGTGGTCTATTCCCTCCTGGCCAAATTAGTGCAGATAGGCTTTAAAGAATGTAAAGTTGAATTGTGAGATAGGGAAGCTAGTGTCAATCATTTCTTGAAATTCATGTCAAACTGAGCATGGCCTCCAACCGCCCATGATGATAATGAACTCCAGGGGAGGGGGGGGGGGGGGGGGGGGGGGGGGGAGAGAGGGAGAGGGGGGATGGGCAGAATATAATCTTTATCTGACTTCACATTACTTATATCTACAACAATTAATTTATTGCCGTTATCATTTTGATTGCAGCCAACATCGTATCACTCCTGATAGACCATGGTGCATCCGTGGAAGCAAGGAATAGAAGACAGGAAACGGCTCTCATGTGCTCTCATAATATCAACATCTCACGGACCATTCTATTCAGTACGCAGGATGAGAGCGACCAGGGATCAATGTCATCATATGTAAGTTTAGTCAAGCGATAACCTTAGATGATGTTAAGGTCACCTATAAACGAAGATCTGTCATTTGAATGCAATTTTATTTTATAATTCCTGCATTATAATCACATAGAAGAGTTCCCTTGGCATTTTCAAAGATATGTTTTCCTTCCCCTGAATTAGATTTCCTACTTGATATTTTCATTGATCCCATACACATTTCAAGTTTTATCTCCTAAATGTTTGTGGAAACAAATTTTCTGCCTTATTTTGAAATGTTTGATAATATATTGGTATGACAGAGATGACTTTTTCTCTTTATAACTCTCCCATAATGTAGAGGTGTCATGGCCAGTAGACATATCACCGTACTGTGGATCACAAGGTCCGCAGTTCGAGTACCGGCCGCAGCGCTAATGTCCTTTGGCAAGACAATGATCTACATTTGCCACATTCAACCCAGGTGACGTAAATGGGTACCTGGCAGGAATTAATTCCTTGAAATGCTAGAGCGCAGTAATGGCAGCTATGCTTAAGCCAGGGTAATAATCAAGAGCGCCAGGAGTGTCAAGTGTGACAGATATGAGCGCTATACAAGAACCTGATATTATTATTATTAATGCATTGATAAGCCCCAAACCTCAAAGTTAAGCTCTACCATTCATTCACTTCATTTAGAAAAGGATGTGGACATTTTTTCTTCTTCTGTGTGTCCACTATAATTCCATGATAATCCAGCATTTACCTATAATTTTCTTTGTACAGGCAACCAGTCCTCCTATAGCAAGCATCCTATCGACGTTAGGAGACGAAGACAACCAGGTGACCCCTATCAAGGTCTCCATCACAAAACTCACTAAGAAACTACAACCTGCCCAGAAAGAGGTAAGCATTGCATCTATGATATTATACAGTCAAACCGGCTTTAGTGACCACCCGTATAGAAAGACTACCTGTCTACAAAGACCGCATTTTTTGTTTCCCTTGAAAATGGTTTCTCATTGAAACATGTAATAAAGGAACCTGTTCATAAAGACCACTTTTCTTGTCTCCCTTGGGTGGTCTTTATAGACAGGTATCACTGTACCTGCTTATCAGTTGCAATAAAAAAATGCAATAGTCTTTTTTGCATGGAGTCGTGATTGGCTTTTAAACTCATCCTGAGATTAAAATAAACTTGTATTCTAATCAGATAGAAACATGGTGTTCTCTAATGTGTTTATTATTCTTGTAGCAGTTACTTGTGTGTAGGGATATCCATGTTTGGTGCCATGTCTGTCTGCTTAACTATTCCCTCAGTGTTGCCAATAATGTGTTTCCTCCATCCAAATTCTGAATACATCTGATTTGTATGTAGCCACCAGGCAAATGGAATCTTTTAATTATATGGACATTTTTTCCACATAAATCACTGAATACAATGACATATTCTTTATTTGTGTTGACTTTTTTCTTGAATGTCATGTTTCTGACCTTCAAATATGTTTGCATTGCAAGAACTAGTTTGCCATTTAATGTTAATCTTTCCTGAGTCTTGCAATAGCAATTAAATATTTACACTGTGCGGTTGGTATACAGTAAGTTCAATATCTTCAAAATAAATATAGCTGAAGACAAACCACATCTAGAATATGTATATTGATACATGACACAATAATGGAAAAACTGTACTTATGTTCACTCCTTCAATCTTTTGTTGATCAGGTTGAGAAGTTGCTTCGCAGTGTTGCCGACGGTGACATCCTCATGATGAAGCATCATCTCGGTTGGCTTAGTGATGACGACTATGATGACGATGATGATGAAGATAATGACCATATCCCATTAGATTCTAAGTTGTGTCATCCTCTATGTCAGTGTTCTAAATGTGCAATGCTACAAAAAGTAAGTATCAGTTGCCAAACATGATATCCCTTCAAATTTAGCCATTACTACCAAGTCTCTTTAAGATAAATGGTATTTTTCAGTGTCTTTGTATAGGCAAATAGCTATTGATGCTTTGCAAAATCAAGGGTTAAATTACATAAGGTTAGAATGTGTACTTCTGTTATAATGAGCATTTACACATTGGATTTTTACCTAAGTAATTATTTACTCTATTCTGATCTGAGTTGCATAGAATATTAATAACATGTACTTACAATGTCCTTTTATAGCTTTTAACAATTGTTGAAGAAATCGATTTGGTGTGAGTACAGTCCACCCAGATGCACACAAAAAAGCAGATATTTTCACAGAATCCATAATCCTTGTTTGGTTGTATTTACAGCGTACCACAGTCAGTGCCAGTGGACTGAGCGTGAACTCACGCAACCAAGAAGGCTACACAGCTCTCCACGTGGCTGCCCTACACGGCCATGAGGCCTTGGTGGACGTGTTGCTCCGTCGAGGGGCGAGTGTTAATCAGAAGAACGGCAGCAGTCAGCAGTGTACACCCCTTCATCTAGCTTGCCAGTGCAACCATCCAAAGGTAGGTTCAGTAGTCACAGAGGTTGATGTTCCCAATTGTCATAGTTGCCAATTTTCACATTTTCACAAGATCTATTGTTTTTTTGCTGTTAACAGCATTGTCAGCTGTTTGTGATTTATGTTACTAAAAAAACCCACGACAATTGGAACATCTATTAATTCTTAAATCCTGTTATAAATCCCATTGTTGGTATGAAAAAGCACTGCCTTTTTTAAATCAATGTGAGCTTGTAAGCTATTTGGAGATTTATAGACTGACATCAAGATAAATGTTATCACTTTAAAGAATGAAAGCTGCAATAAATTTTACAAAACACTATCTGCCTTTTATCAAAGTGAGCTTGTAAGCTATTTGAAGATTTATAAACTCACGTCAAGATAAATGTTATCATTTCAAAGAATGAGAGCTACGATGAATTTTACAAAACATTATCTCTGATATTGAATCAAGTTATCCTTGTCATTTCCAGTATTGCTTGAATATGCTTTCCACATAAAATTGCTCATCTCTGGATAATCCTCTGTAACTTTCCCACAATTCAGGGTTCAAATGTTTAGGAAATATTATTATGTACTTTTCTAGCTCAATTTATAATGAAATTGTTAATTTATTCATTGTTAAAACGATCTTCCTTCTATTTAGATTGTATCCAAACTCCTGCAGCATGCGGCTAAGTGCAATATAAAGGATGTGAGAGGGAACACCCCTCTCCATTACTGCTGTCTCAACGGGCATCTCGGACCAGCTGAGGCCCTCCTACAGGTATTCATATGAATAAATACTACCAGGCACTGTTTCATTGATGTCTTTAACTTTTGTGATGTTCTAAATTTTGTTTTGATTATTGGAGAAATTTATGGTTGAAAAGCAATAGAAGCACTTTTGTCTCGTGACATCCCTTGACTAGGCAGTAGGCAATTATTGAGGATATAATTCCATTGTGCCTTGTTAAGCGAGCAATGTGATGATCATCCTTTTTTGGTCTGACTAACACACTAAATCGTTTTTCATCACTTTTACAATGTGTAGCATGGTGTCAGAAGGTTTTCATGAGAAATTAATGGCGCTGTAAGGTTAAGAATTACATACTCTACAAGCCAAACAATTTTGCCAAAAAATGGCAGGGACATAAAAGCTTACAAAAGCTGTTCATACATGTGTTCGCACTCATATTGTCAGCTCATTCGCACATTCAGTGTAGTTAGCAACACTGCATCGAATCGATTTGCAAAAGTAACAGCTTATACAGTACATCTTGTCTGATCGTCTGAACCAGTTGTAAACTACATGTTGCAGTTTGTAGGACAGGAAAAAACATCTAAGAAATCTTTTCTCCATCTTCCCAGCATGGTGCAAACGTAAACCAAACCAACCAGAGGGGTAACACGCCCCTCCATGAGGCAGCGAGGTTCAACTTTACACCCCTGGTCAAGTTATTACTGGACAGTGGTCAGGCTAACCCTCATTGCAGGAACAAAGCTCAACAGATACCTCTGAGACTCACCCAGGTTTGTAGCAATACTATCAGTGAATTTTGTATATCTACAACTAACTTTGAGCATATTAAATGGATTGGGTAACTTTGTCTCAGATTCTGAAACAAAATCCTGGATCATGCAGCTCATGCTGCAATGATAATTAGAAACCTTTAGGTCAGTCAGGAATCACATGACTTTTACAAGCTGATCGCCTGTCTGATTATAAAGATATTTATGGTTGGAAATCCAAATTTGATTTTTTTTGTTTTCCTACCAGTTTTTATTACACTACAGTTTATTGGGGTGAATGAGTATGGTAAAATCGGTGACTCAAAGAATTTTACTTTTCTGAGGCACTTCATGATCATTTTCAAGCGAATTTTTGATCATATTTGAATAGTATTCAACCGGTTTAGATTTCCCCTGATGCGCTGAATTATACTGTGAACTTGATGATATATGGGCAAATACAATATCAATCACTGAAAATGAAATACTGATATTTTGAAGAACTACAAACTTTATGGCAAGATTGTATTTACTATTGTATTCATGTCAGTTAGTCTTCCTCGCTTAAGAATTTTACGTATGAGACTTGGTAAATACTATAATCTCTATTGACAAGCTATTCAAGCTTGTTTGTCAAACATGAATCTAGATTACAGAGGATGGCAATAACTGCCCCTTCCAGACCTGTAACTTTTCCTCCTAGATGATCAGTATAGCAAGGTAGACTGTACATCTGAAATACAGATGTGTGAAATGGCTGTATTGGAAAAGCCGGTGCATTTAAATGTTTTTTAGAAATGTGACTCCATATAATTGGTCATCATCATCGTCATCATCATCATCATCATCGTTATCATCAAATGTTTATACAGTGAAACCTGTCTATAAAGACCACCCAAGGGAGACAAGAAAAGTGGTCTTTATAGGCAGGTGGTCTTTGTGTACAGGTTCATTTAGTACATGTTTCAATGAGAAACCATTTTTAAGGAATACAAAAAATGTGGTCTTTGTAGACAGGTGGTCTTTCTATACAGGTAGTCTTTCTATACAGGTGGTCACTAAAGCAGGTTTGACTGTATTTTCTTTCATAGAAACGCAGTGACATTGCCAGGATGTTGAAAGCAGCCATGAGACGAGACGATGACCTAGAGTCTGTGACGTCGACGGAGACCAACACATCATCTGGTTCCTCCCAGACTGATCCCCTAGAATCTATCCGGGAAACGGGACAATTCTCTAACAACTCCGCTCCACCACCCCCTCTAACTCCTCCTCCTAGACCTCTCAATAATGAACGTAAGTTTATTGTTAAAGGTAAAGACCAGTTTTGGAAACGCCCCCCTCTCAAAAAATTAAATGGAAGCTCTTATTACCAATCATGTGAAAGAATATGTTTTGACTAATACGTGATGATACAAATTTTGCCGGGAAACCGCCTACTAATTGATATATTTGGTAAATTATTATATCTATCCGGACCGGGTGTCGCGTAGTCCCATATACATCTTTCTGTGTACAGTGCTTGTAACTTTACCAAGACTGGGCCAAATTTCTTATAATTTTGATGATTCCAGAACCTTGCAGTACACACCAATACTTATATGCTAGATGATCAGCCTTTTCTGATCGATTCCACAACCTTTCTTTCACAATGTGATAAGTTATCTATCTTAGAATTAGAAGATGATATAGTGGAGGCTGTATTTTTAATATGCTCCTACATGACATTGCTTTTTTGTATAAATCTTCTTAAAGTAGTTGAAGACTCATGAATTGCTTTGTACAGATAATGCCCAGTCTCTGCTTAGGACTGTACAAGATGAATGAATATGGAGTAAATGTTACCTTCTGTACGAGTACTGTACATAAACCCTTGAGAAATTTGATACTGTTAGTGATAGATTATACAGTCAATACATTGCCTACATGAATTGGATGGCTCATGTTTTAAAGGTACTATGTCCCATTTGCAGGCCAAAAAAATGAAAAGGTTAAATTCCAACGGCATTTGAAAGATAATACCAATTTAGAACTTCCCTAAAAAAGGTTTGACTAGAAAATGTCTTCAAATGGGAAAATAACGACTATTAGTTGTCAAATCGACTTAGGAGCTATAGAGCCAATAAGTAATAGTCTTGATTTTCAAAACCATTGGACCGAATGGTCATACGTTTTATGCTGCGCAAAGATTCAATCAGTTTAATTTTGGCCATCGCAAGAAGTGGGTTATTGATGTAGACAAATGTTCATGTACCCTTTACAGCTCATTTTTATTACCAAAGAAGAAAAAGCCAGTCAGTCACTCAATAGTGTCTGACAGTGAAGTCTAGCAAGTAAACGGGTTTCCTTACATAATTTGAATATTACGACACTGCCAACGTTTAAATTTCACAGATAGGACATACATGACATATTCATAATTCCTGCCAAGTTTTACAGAATATGAGGTTGGCTGCAAAGGGACATAGTACCTTTAAAGCCTATATGGGAAAAGCAAATCAGTTGTCATTTCTGATTTTAATGTAGTGAGATCATGACTTGACTTTAATACCATGATGTCTAATTGATACAAAGCCTCATTCCATAATTGTACTTCCGTTCATCCGTCACCATGACAATCAACATCTCTTCCACCACCCAGATGTACTACCGAGACCGCTCAGTGTCCACGACCTCTTCAACTATTTCTGCGACACGGACCGGACCACCATGCGTGCCTTAAACCAGTCCATCAGGGAGTTTGAGCCCGCCCGTCAACTCAGACATGTCGAGATTGAAGACAAGCACCAGGAGAATTGGAACCTCTATCTAAAACAACAGGTATGTCAATATATGCTTTCAATCAGGGATAAAATTATGGATGGGGAATTTAGAATGCAGGGATGCTGGTTTTCAGGCAATTGCCTGAATTCAGGCCCTGGCTAGTCATTTTCACACCATAGTTCAGGATTTTTTGTGTACAAAATAAGCTCATTCTAGGTGATTTTCAGGCCCTCTGATCAATTCTAACTGGCATCCCTGAGAATGTTAATGGTAGGGTTTATTTAGATATTTTTGTATAATTGATACATGTTTCGGTAGTGAATAAAGAAAGAGAACAAATCTTTATCGATATGGACTCATATCGTATATTTCATACCTTTATTCAACATTTTTGTGTAAGTATTTGTGCATTTCTGTTTAGAAGTGGAGTGAATTAGGGTAGGTAGTATCTCCAAGCTCCAAAGTCGACGTTCATACTTTCATATTATCAAACCACGATCATTAGAATCATAGCACAGTGGCAAGGTTTACAAACTTACCATGTCAGATATCTATTTCTGGAATAGATGTATTAATTGTTTGAAAAAGTTTTTAAGGTTTATTCACCAAGCCAAAGGCTACAACTGGTGCTTCTTCGAAGGAGGACAAAGTTTATAAAACACACATGGTCACATTTTGCGATGTATGCGATGTCAACAGTTTAAGTTCAAAGAAATTAGAGTCATCAAACAGCACCTGAAGTGAAAAAAATATTGAATACATTCTTAAGGACATTCTGAATATTTTCATGTATGATCACTGCTCATGAATATTCATATTGTCAACAAATTGGCAATGTTATCGCTGGTGACCTTTCACTGTTTGCTTCCTATGCAACAAAGGTCTATTTCTTGGACATGTTGTATTCCGTGTATGCAAAGCCCAACAAATTATTTTGATAGTAAATGGTTGGGCGGTGAAGATGGAGCTTGTGCATCAAGGTCAGCATTTGAATTTCATGACAAGTGTAATGTTTTATCCTATACCCCCCTCATTTTCTTTATTTGTAGTTTATTATCTTATTCTCCCCCTTTAGATATATGTATAATTATAGTCTATAAAGAACCTGTTCTGTCATATTTCTAGATGCTCTACCTCAACTTGTTCAGGCCTTCAATATATTTGTAATGGTTGATTTCTTGGTCTCTCTCTCTCTCTCTCTGTCTATCTCTTTCAATCTTTCTCTCACTGTTTCTCCTTCTCGTTATCTCTCTGTATTATTCTGTCACCTCCTCTTTCTCCATCTCTTTTCCTCCACCCATGATCTCTTCTCTCTCCGCTCAAGTCCTCCCCCTATCTTCTTATGTTCCCCAACTATTTATTTGCTGTCTCTGTTCCTTCTCCCCTCCTCTATCCCCTTCTCACTCTCTCCCTCCCCCCCCCCCTCTCTCTCTCTCTCTGTCTCTGTCTCTCTCTCTCTCTCTCTCTTTTTCTCTCTCCCCTTCCTCCCTCCCCCCCCCCCCCCTCTCTCTCTCTCTCTCATTCCCTTAACATTTTTGACATAACCTTACCACTTATTGCCTTTGTGTGGGTTTTGTTAAACTATATCTTTATCCTGATGCTAATATACTGTCCGAAAATTGTCAACTCTTTTATGGAATGATACAATCATACAAGTAGTTTGCCAATGTTCCTTTTTTATAATTTTATTAAATTGATTTGTGTGTTTAGATTCATTCTGTGCAGTTCCTTTTCTTTTCCCTTTTTATTTAATCGGTTTGAGTGCAATGTGCAATGTCTGTCGTTTTCCAGATATGAACTTAGCTCTCTCAATACCAATCTATATCTGCTTTCTTGCTGTATCTCCCATACAAAGCTCCATCTCTCTATCTCTCTCTCTCTCTCTCTCTCCCCCTCTCCCTCTCCCTCTTCATCTCTCTTTCTCTCTCTCTCTCTCTCTCTCTCTCCACCTCTCCCTCTCTCCACCTCTCCATCTCTCTCTACCCCTCTCTCTCACTCTCTCTCTCTCCCCTCTCATTGTTTTATTTTACATATGTCATACCATATCATTTCTCTTTTTCCCTTCACTACCAAATGTTGTGCAGGAATCATTACTTTCTTCTTTTCTTTTTGTCATATTTTCTGCTTCTCATCTTTACTCTTGTTCTTATGTTCTTAAATATGATTTATTTACTTATGAATATCATTTACTTTGTTTTTATTTTCTTACTAATTTGTTAACCAGTTAAATCGTTTTGTTGTAATGGATATTTTGTTGTTATACCCAATACTTTTTTTTGTAATATGTGAAATTTGTATGACAATTCAACTGCTACTACTGTACATATATAGTACGATAATATTGTGACATGTGGCCTTAACTTTTCAATATTATTTTTCCTAAACAATTCTCATTTCTCTCTTTCCCTATTTCTTTCTTCCTCTCTGTTTCCCTTTTCATCTTTCTTTCTCTAATTCTCAAACTTATTTACATTTTTACATAAAATCTGTTAACTTTGCAATTTATAAACCTCCAATTTTGTTTATTTTTAAGATTTGCTTAAATCTATTTATGATGTGAGCATGGTGATTGACATTTTTTGGGTAATTCTTAGGGTAACATTAGTTTTCGTTATGTTCCATTTTCAAACCTAAACTATGAGAAGCTTTGTTGGTAGGATTTCTAAATAAATGGTCTTTATTGTCCTCCCAGTAACAGAGATGAAGATGGATTTTCATTACTGAAAAATGGATAACATGCTTGTTCATTTTGGGGTTTTTCTTCATGAATGTACAGACTATGCAGTCTACTTCCAATACTGGAAGAACAGTGGAATTCTTTAATTATGTGCCAATGTTTGTCATATTGTCACTTTAAATCTTCAATTTGTTTTGCATATTCTAAACAGCAAATTATTCAGTTCTTCTTTACCTTCCATTAAGTATTGATATCTTTATTGTGAATTAATATACAAATAAAATAATGTGTGTATTGTTCTGCTTTTCTTGCCTATAGCTTGAAATCCAGCACTTTGATCGAAGGAAGCTGAGACGAGCAAAGACTCAGGATAAGAGTGGATCATTCTTCAATATGATCAAAGAAGAACTTAGCAATACTTCTCATATTGAGAACACAGACACGGACAGCGACTCGGATCATGTGATGCCTGAAGCTCAAGAAGATGACCAAGACCCAGGTTACCATGGCAACTCGGTAGAGAGGAGAGGTGATGGAACACCTACTGAATTAGATACAATAGACAGGAACGGTGATGGATTACATGGTGTCGTAGATGCAAGTAATATTTCAAAGAGGTCTTCACAATCCGAGGATGTAGGTGCATGTTTGGGAGAAGGAGGTCATGATGAAACCAAGGTACATAATCAAATTAGTGATTTAGAGGAAGAAAATAATAGTGCATTGATATCTGAGACACTCTCCTCCGATACCAACTCTGCCGTACCATGGTCGGACGCTGAACACCGAAAGCTAGAAAACCAAAGTCAAAGCAACAATTCAAACAGCAATAGTGAATCCATAGGCACATCCGTGACTCAAGAAGACAATGTATCATCTAATGGAGCAGTCTCTGTGAGTGCAAACACCCTCGATTGTGGGTGTGTTCAGACTCGTGATAGCCATGAAGATAACCAACGTGGAAGAGGAACTGTTCACGATGATGATGCGTATCATAGCAACCAGGATCGAGGGAGAGAGCATCCTGGCGTAGGGTGTTTCAAGACGCCTCTGTCGGCGGACTCTGCCATTAACAGAGTTTGCCAAGATGAAGAATAGTTGGGGTTTCCCCTCTTTTCGTACATGTATTTTCTTATTTCATAAAAGTATTGGAAGTATTTCCTGATAGAGTATCATTGGATTTCAAGTCAATGTTACTGCTTTCTAGTCTAATGTATACCTCATTGCATGCTGCAGACTATCGACCATGGATAGAATTCTTTACTTTGTTTATCATAGCTTGATTGATTATGAGGTGTAGATTCAAGTGTACTTATTCCTTCTATTGATGTTTGACGTATTATATTATACACCCATAGACTTATTCCCATCCCCTCTCCCATCCCTTCTCCCATCCCCTCCCCCATCCCCTCTCCCATCCCCTCCCCCACCCCCTCTCCCATCCTTTCTCAATAACGAGTGGTGTAAATCTCCTTCCAATTTATCATAAAGTTTATAGCTTGCTTTATCCAGCTCTGAAAGAATATGATCTTAAATATCTGGAAAATTTTCTTTTTTGTTTCAGAGCAGTCAAGTGATATGCGATAATTTATCCTGTGTTATCATTTATAAGGAAATATTTAAATTAACTTTAACTGTGTTTCAAGCAATGCATTGTACTTTCCTCATCTGACACTAATATAATCCATTTGCAGTATATTGTTGTAATTTGAATTTGGCTGTTCATAAATTTGTTTTCAATTGCATGGCAATTTTCTCAACAAATGCATATGGTATACCGATCCATTCACACTTTACAAAATATTATAATTCAGTAGTTCCGGATGCAGGCACTATTAATTGCTTTGCTAGGTAACGCATGGGTTCGATTCAGAATTAATATGATTATAGATTTGATGGGATTGAAAATTGCTGCAGCTGGTAGGTAAATCAAGACTTTTGCTTTCATCGAGATTAAATAATTAAAAAACACATGGCAATAACAAATAAACCAACCTCAAGGATTGATGTGTTTTCTGCTGGTACCCATTTCAAGAGAACCGTTTCTGATATGCTGCCAAACATTCCTTTCTTTTTCAATTTAAAAAAAAGCAATAATCGTACCGATAGCCACAGACATAAATTCACCCTTTAAAAAAAAAAGATTATATAGCAAATGATGTGAAATTCTTGTTTAGGTAATGTATACCTGCATAACATTTCCTGATGCACACCTTTATGCTAGCCTACATATTCCATTATATTCTGAGTCTCTCTCTATCCCAAATAATTGTACTTTTTCACCAGGTTGATAATATAATCACCACAGAGGATTATGTAAGTCAGCACATGTATTAAATCTTCTTTATCACAAAGTAACAATTGATTCTACTGTGCTACACATCCTGATGAGACTAAAACTACCTTTTTGAACTCCTGAGAAATAAAAATTGTCACACGAGTAAGACACAGATTTGATATAATGTCATGAATTACAACATTTTTCTATCCATCATTGCCCCAACATATCACATTTTTATGAATCTAATATAAAAAAGGATTTTTTTTCTTTCTTTATTTGCTTTAAAATACAAAGTAGTGGGCTCACCATTTGGGTGTTTACCCAATATTGAAGTTTGAAGTTTATTTATTCCACATTTTACGTCGAAAAACAGGTGTTGTCAATCACCATCATTAGCCTCGACTTCTATGCCTTATGAAATGCTCTGCATTTTCCACTCATCGCCCCACATGGAAAAGTTATTATCTTTAATAAATTTCCCTCAACCAAAGACTCTCTGAGAGACGAGAGGGAATTTCTTGATGGGACTACGGTTTTCTGTGTGGTTAGACTTGTACACCCATTAATTGTATTTCCTCCAAGTCTGGTGTCAGCAAATTATGACCTACTGCATATAGAAATGTCTACCTATCCCTTTAAGACATGTCATTGAATTTTGTCATGGATTAATAATCAACCTTATGTTCATTGATATTAGAGATTGATATTCATTTAACCCTGATTTTATTTATGTAAACATTTGATGAAAAATCAACCTGGGATTCCATGGATTGAAAAGTGGGCTACTTGATAAACAAATTTTGGGTTTAAGTGTACGAGATGGATTCTATTTTTGCTTATTTGCTTTTGTTTGTTTGTTAGTTTGTTTGTGTGTGTATGTGTGTTCATGTACTCTTTGCTGCCAGTTGATATTTCGGTGACCATTGGTCCCCCATGATCCTCTTTTTCTTATGTTAACTGAGAGCTGAGTTGACAAGATAACCCCCTGTCCAGTGACCTGGCAGGGTGGTCTAAATCCCTCCTGTACACTATTAATGATGGGCTTTAAGCCATTTCATTCATTAATTACTTTTACTACATGGTATTAAACAGATGAATAGTCAGTCCTGTGCAATACTTGTGGAAATGCTGAAATGCAGCTAGGTTAGAGCTAAAACAATTTCCCTGTTTTCAGTATAATAATCATGAAAGATTAGTTTACTAACATCTGTGAAAGTATTATGCAATACATGCACTTCTGGTCAGTCAGTCAGTTTGAAAAGAAGATGTTCCTTGCGCCTTGTTTAGATTATGTGTTTGTTTAAGATCCTCTAGTGCAAACTATTCTTTTTCATTTTGATTTATATACATGTTTTTCTTTTTCTGATTATAGCACCGTTTTTCTTTTTCTGATTATAGCCCTGTTTTTTCTTTTTCTGATTATAGCCCTGCTTTTCTCTTCCTGTATGCGATGCATTGAGCATGTGCTTTGCTATGGGCTATGGCTGCATATCAGATTGTTATGCCTAACCTGAAATATATATTTTATTTATTCTCAAAGATTATCTATATTTTAGTTTGCATTGCATACATAAGGGATCTAAGTGTAAAGGTACTGTTAGGAAAGCTAATAAACATGTTATTGCAGGATACATTCTTATTTTATGACTAAATCAAAATGCTTTAACACTACAGAAGATCAAGAAAAAATATTATTTCTTCCGAAAATAAAGATGACTTATTTATTTCATAAACAGTTGATATACAGTGGTTTATAAAATCAGGAGTCAATTTTATTTGTGATCAATGGCTATCATGAAAGGACGTTCACTTTAGAGGTACTATTTAACAGTTCAACATAGTTATGTATTGAATTATTTATCCAACTTAGAATGTGATAACATCCCTTGGAAGTTTTAGAAAGAGAAAGTTGGATATTGATTTTGAAAACAAATATTTAAGAACTCTTTCTAGCTGTACCAAATTATGTAGTTCTGAATATCTCTACTAGAAGAATACTTTTTAAAGAAATTCAATACCAGTTCAACTGCTCATATAATCTCGCTTTCTGTAATCTCCCTTTTTAAAGAGATTTTTCATCCTTTTTTTTCTTCAAATTTAGAGCGCACTTTTAACCAATAACGAAAATTGTACATCGTTTAAAGTTTTAAAAAATTCAGTTACTATGAGACTTTCCGCTTTGGGCATCCACAACAGAAAAGGGATATTTCTCAAAATGGAATAAACAATTTTAGCCTCATATATATATATACATGCACGCACATCTGAATCACAAGATTTTGGTTTCGACTAAAGCCAAATATGACATAGAATAGATGTTTTTGACACGACAATTCGTCCAGTTATAAGGTAAATATTTAAACAGTCAGCAATATATTAATGGTTCTAATTGACTTTTTGAGGATATTTACAACGGACACCTTGTCTACCATTCCCATAATGTACATTTCATTTTTTTTCTTCTTAAAGTTTGAATAAAGTATCTTTCTAATATATGTATTGCGGAACTTGGTGTCATGATTTGATCTGTGAAAAGTGAAGAAAAAATGGCATACATGAATGATTTAGTTGAATTCAATTTAATTGAATTGAATTGATTTATTGTCCATACAAAATAGTTGATGTTGTGTTCGACTCGCTTGCGTTGGTGGAGTGTGACGGTGCTATTTTTCCGATGTCGGTGGCGGCAGCGACAGAGTCGGTATTAGTTTTCTTAAAATCGCTCTCATTTCAACTTTACATCGAAATGTTATGGACCTTGTACCGATGTTCTCGCAGGTTAGTGAGAACCAAATATAGAAAATAATGTCAGGTCAAAGTTTAATAGAGGTCAGATATGTTTAATTATGCTTTTAAAATGATGAACTTGGATTCAAATCGATACAGAAGACAGCATTATAAACCTGTTTTTACTAGCCAAGAAGCGTTTCCCTCCGTGTAGAGCCTACTTACCGCGCTACTCGTGGATTTCTACGGGTTACACTTAGGATTTCTTCAAACGGGCCTAAATCAAAACATCAGCTTATGATGGTAGATCTTCCAGCCAAGTTTATTTTAAGGTTACCTCTTTTCCACTTGAAGTACCCCCCCCCCCCCCTTTTTTTTTGGGGGGGGGGGGGGTGGGTGATCCTCAACTTTGAAAAACGACACCCTTGCAACGAAACCTATCTTTTCCCCGAGCGTGTTTTAGAATTGAAATTGTACTCGATGCATATTTAAAAGATAAATCAAGTTTTATGCTCTTGCAATTTATTAAAAAAAGGAATGATAAACAAAAGACCTTGGAAGAGTTAATTTATACCACCATGACAAAGACTTGCGAAAAATCAATTTCGGTAGCAATGTCCGTCATCATATTGAAGTGTGAGAATGTTACTATGACACATTACGTAATTGAACATAATATTATGGGTTATTCAATAGTGTATTTATTTCCCCCCCCCCCCCCCCCGAGCTAATTTTTCGAAAGTCTTTGCGATCGTGTCTTAAAGCCCCTCTGCACTAATTTGGCGTGGAGGGATTAGACCTCCACTCAAACAGAATGAACCTACCCATCTATCTCTTCCACCCTCCTCCCCCTCCCATTTTCCATTCTGTCTCTCTTGCTTTCTCTCTCTCTCTCTCTCTCCCTCTCACTCTCCCCCTCTCTCTCTCTCTCTCTTTCTTTTCCCTGAGCTTCTTCACTCCACTTTCCTCTCTTTCATTCTCTCTCTCTTCTTCCTGTCCCCCCCCCCCCCCCCCCCCTCTCTTTCCTTCTTTCCCTCTTTCCCCTCCTTCCCTTTTCGATTGCTTGCAGGTTACTCCGGATGTCCACTCGGATTACAGCAACATCATATTCGGATGCGGGTTCAGAGGCTATCGATTTTCGTTTTCAGTTTTCCCACAGGTCAAATTCTCAGCCAGTTAGGTCTGGGTATAACGCCACAGCTAGATATCACACCCTTTGGCCCGAATTCACAAAGCAAGGTTTGAGCTCAGACCAAGGTTTGAGCTCAAACCTTCTTTTGTTTCGCCAAACCTCCTTTTGTTCTTTACAAACCAGGTTTGTAAAAAACGCGTAAAACGCGTCATATGACGTACGAAAACCAAGGTTTGTCGACAAACCTCCTTTGTGAATTCGGGCCTTTAAGTTGAACAGATTCCATGAATAGTTCTTTAATGATTGTATTAATAATGATAATAATAATATTGATAATAATTGTAATAATACAAATGATAACATTAATAAGTATTTGATAAGCACCATAATACATTTCGCAAAAATACTCAATGCGGTGAGAGTGTACATGAAAAAATGTATAATTAACTGTAAATTGCAATACAGAGTAAACGAACAAAATAATTAAGAGGAAATAATATATTATATCGAAGAAATAAGTAGAATATTATATAAGAAAACATATATGAATGACATAGAATGTGGAAGTATTGAATCAATGAAAAGTGGTTATTATGATCATAATAATGATCAATTAATAATAATGATACAACTAATAATAATAAAGTAATAATAATATTGAAAATAATATATTAGTAACAATACGACTATTAATAATAATCATAATAGTAATGATAGCAATTTGCAAAAAGACGTTAATGTTCTTCTGGAACAGGTGAAAAATAATTACCACTGCGTACTCCAGAAGTATGTAAACGGTACATAAATACTGTCGGTAAACCTGAGACAAGCAACGGTCTAGAATAAGGGAGTTTACAGATAGCACATGGTACAAATGACCCCAAATATCCACATATCTTTTACACATGAAGAAGTTCCACTTTGCATCTTAGAATAATAACTGCCAAAGTCCTAGATGTGCTTCATGAATACCTTTTGCTTGCCCTCTTGAAAAGAATACTTCCACCTGCGCATGAATGAATAATGTTACATAACTTTCATGAGCGCAGTATTCATCTCTGTGGGTTTTACCTTTTTGGTACAAATGACCTTTATCTGCCCATGCGCAGATTATATCTATGAACTGGCTTATTGTTTCGAAGTTAAACTTGTTACACTGATATGCAAATGCACTACCCATGTACAATTATGCATCTTTCCATTTACAAGAAAGTTTAATCAGAAACCATGACATTCAATAGTCATTCGAGTTGTGAGGATGAAGGTTTAAGTTAAGTTCAAATATCTTGAAATTACTCCTATTTGATTATTTAGCAAGGTAAACTAGTTTTTAATTGTCTTCATTGTTTTATAGATCCTATATCCCTCAGTTTGCATGAAAGTTTCGAGTCTCGGCATGTTACTATTGTGTTTGTATGCCTTGTTTTGGGAGCCCGCCCCCCCCCCCCCCCCCCCCTCTCAGTGTTATTTAGGGTACGCGTATGCATGTTCCCTCCTTTTGAAAACACCCCTTTAAGTCCGGTGTGTAAAGTCAATACGGGCCGATTTTTGTTTGTGTGTGACGAGCCGGACTTTGCTGCGTGAAAAGTACCCCTTTACCGGACATTTTGGGAACATGAATGCGATCCCTTCGTTCCCGGTGTGGGGGGGGGGGGAGGTTAGGGAGTCGGAACTCTCCCGTACCACTCTGACATCACAATTTTAATCAAAATGACAGCTCCCATGGGAGTATGACTAGCAAAGAAACTGCAAACTTTGGAGAGATCGTTTTCCTTACTAATTAAGTAATCAAATATGAGTAATTTCAAAATATTGTTATTTGGCTCATTAGTTTTCACAAGGTTATCAGTTAAAGTCTGTTGGTTTCGTTTTTACTTTAAGGCTTGTTCATATAGAAACGAGCCTTTAGTGACACCAGTGGAATGGGGGGGGGGCAGTCGGCCCATGCACTCCTTTAAGACCCCAATTTACATACCCTTATGTTTCGCCTCAATTTCCTACACTAATCGGATTCTTACATTTCAAACCACGACACAACACTTTACCTAACCCTAATGAAACGGAACCCAGAGCAAATGTCGGATTGCCTATCACGTAGGTATGAACGAATTTGTTATTGCAATTGCGTCCCATTGATGTTTGTTTTTTCTTATTCTTAGGGATGAGTAGCGTATCCAAGCACATTAATGTTCTTATATGCATCCGTAAAGTGAAAACAAACTCAAAACAAAAACAGAGTGAAGGATATGATTAAATTATCATGGTGCATGTTGCATTTGTTGGGCAGGTATTGCTGTCATGGTTTGCTTCAAAGATGTTGTAGAAATTGATGAGGATAAACATAGTGCTGGAGCCCAGGATCACTCCGGCTTGGCCGATGGCACCGGAGATGATCAGGTGCTTGCGACCGTCTGCATTATTACGTAATATCCAAACAGTAGATGCATGGCAGTATCTAGACGATACACTCGTAATCACAGCATTTAGTACCTGGATGACAGTGAAATCAATTAAAAGATAATAATAACTAATAGCTAATGATTATTAGCACAAGAAAGATTTGATGCGCTAAAAGAGAGGGTAAGAATAAGGTATAGTACCTAGAAGACAACGAAATAAGGAAAACACAATTCAGTAATTATGATTACAACAGAAATTGTGAAAAACAATATCTGTTGTGGCCTTGTGGGGAATGATGATGTGAAGAAAAGGAGATCGGATAACGGTGACAGGGCATATTTGTATTTTAAGATTGTTCTTTTCCATGTTTATTCACCCGTGAACAGAAATCGTCATTTGGAAGGGCATTTTAGATAACACCTACTGCTACCCCTCGCAGTTTGGGGATGGAATTGCTAATCTTGAAACGTAAAGAAACCAAAGGCTACTTACAATGAGTACTTTGCCAGCGACGAGGCCACCGAACGGCGGATAAGGACTCGTAGAGGCAACCACAAGGGCATATGTATAACCGAAAAACGCCACGACCAGGGACACGGCCACGGCATTGAAGCTGTAGATGGGTTTCAACAGAAACAGAAAATAGGCGAAGGCGACGGCGATCTGCTCCAGAGGCACAAGCAGTTGAAAGGTAGCATGACCGTACGCACTACCCGAATAGCCAAGAATCGGTGACATGATGCCGTAGGCCATCAAAAAATTGAGAAAGAAGATGGTATATAAAAACGCTACCTGCTTTTTGGTGAGATGTTTTTCTGTTAGTTCGTTATTGGAGTCGTTATTTTCTGTATTCGAGATGGAGGTATCATTTCCATTCGATGAGACTACTGGCGTGAGCCTTAAGAGGTCAGTTTCCTCATCAGCTGAAGATAAAGACTTGAAGAGTCCACCGCATCCGTCCCTTTTAAGATGGTGGCCGTCTCGCTGAGGCGTGTATTCCCGTCTGGCGCAAGGCAAGGTATTCAGGCAAATGAACGCGATATGACATGAGATCATCACCACGAATAGAAAGCTAAAATATTCATCAGGTTCGAAGAGAAATTGAGGAACCACTTCTTGCCAAGAGGTGCAATTATACGTAACTGATGAATTCCCAATCATTGTTTCGTTGATGAAGGTATAATTAGCAACGCATGTGTCTTTACTGCCTCCTGATTGCTGTATAAGAACAACAAAGGCAGGGAGAACGTGACTCATGCCTTCACCAATCCAAAACCAATTCAACAGGTTTGGTTTTAGGAGAGACATGAATCCCACAAAGGTGACATTGGACGTGATATCAACCAGAGCTACAAAGAACACCAAACACAGGAAAGCCACACTGTGGGGTTGACCAGACAGGTATGTCTTTGAGTCCCAGAAGAATATCAGCAAGAATGTCGCTATGGTTCCCATGAAGGTGATGGCGTAGTTGACGGGAATCTCTGGTCGGTATAGGCGTGTAGACGCCGATAGTTTATTGCAGATCAAGAAGGCTATCATTCCAACTACAGCAAACTGAATAAGAATATTCACGATGGAAGTAATCCGATATTTCTCGGGCAGTCCAGTTGCTATCAGGATTGGTAATTCGGTCCAGATTCCTGATACAGAGACCCATGCTCCGCTCCCGAAGATGACGACCAGTGCGATGACCAGTATCCGTTCCAACCGGCTGTTGCTCCCTTCATTCATTGTGTTTCTTTGCTCTCGGTTCACCTGTATTAAACTGAAGAAAAAGAAGAAGACATAATCCAGGAAAATGTGAAGATTTTGTAACATAGATATGTTTTTGTCTTGATCGAGTAGCTAATAGGGACTTTTAGATTTGCGTGAACTGATACGTGTGACGTCCATTCAAGGCAGTGCATTAAAAGGACGTCGATCGTAGCAATCCACGTTGTCGTTGTGCAAATCTAAAAGTCCCTATTCCCAAGTCAAGACCGACACCATACCAACAACAGACCGAACATAACATTCCAAAACCCTTGAATGACCATGAATCGATGTCGCGGTTTGACGGTGAAACTGAGGTTTATCTTTTTGAATAGACCTGCTTACTTCAATTTCTTTCAATTTAATGTTTCTCTCCTTAAGTTTACCCTTGGTTGCCAGTCATGTAATTCACCGGCTATGAATAATGGCATTGCTATATAGTATAGATGAAATGCTGTTATGTATCGCATGACTTGGTAGCACAGACGATCAGTTGCCAATGTAAACTTTTGTTCATAAATCATGCATAAAACAGTTTTATTGGCATCCTACTTACCCAAATAGACCAGTTTAGTGATTAACGCATTTGATCTGGATTCCTCTTTTCATATTTCCTTAGTGATTAACTATGTAATTCAACTCTCACATAATGTCATCTCCACTGATTGATTGTTCATTGTGTTTACAAGCAAAAGATTTTAGTTATCAGAATCGGTTTCATATCCCTTTTTTGAGTGGTGTGAAATGTCATCACATTTATATACACTAATCTCATTATAACTTGAGAAATAATAGCATTGCAATTATGTTCATTCTTTATGGGATGTCGTCTGCTTGTGCACATCATGCCCAACATGACTATGTCACACATCTCAGCAGCGTTCGGAGAGCTCTTCAGGTGCTATGCCGGGGCTGTATTTAAGCGTTTTGATAATAATCATTACTTCAAAGTTTCCAATTTTGATAATAATGAAAATAAAGTTAGTTTTTGTAAATCTTCGCACAGCTACTTAAAAAAAAAAAAGCTCTAGCTAGTATGACCCCCCCCCCCCCCAATAACACCACAACCTTATTTTCGCATCCCCTCTTTTTCATATTCAAATTAAACACCTGCGACGCAACAGAATTGAACAATTCCGTCACGCATGCCGGATAACTATAATGTTCCCACTTATTGCCATATAAACATCATTTGTCAGCTATACGATGTAACGCTGGTAAATACATTTTCTGATTTGTAACTCAAGGCCTCGTAATAATTATGTGCACTGATATGGCTGTATAAATTATGCGTAACGGATGCAGTGGAACAGATGCACTGGTATGTAAACTAATATCGTGACTAAACGTATTCAAATAATAATCTTCCAACATTGACATTACCTTCTCTTTATCCGTTTGGCGTTCACAGCAAAAGCTTCCGAGTTTCAATTTTTTTTGTTGCTAATCCTCAGCCCAACTTTCAGGAAATGCAGATTTACCCATTACTATTTTCAAAACGGTTGTACTGTTTTCGAAGGTCAATAATAGTAAATTCAAAGCAAAATTATCCAAGATTTGGAGATGCTCCTTACCTACCTCGAATGCTCTCTTGTCGGTTCAAATATGAAGGCTCAATAATATTGGATTATACTAGCTCGAACACACATCTTTCTCTGTAGTGGATCTGTTATACATCCTTGTTAAATGACTGTACATGTTATGATAGTAGAGCTCCTGTTTATACGATTGTGCGCACCAATATAATAATAGAAGAGATAGTAACGTATACGGTCGAATTCGATCAACTGCTGCTCATGAGCAATCAGCTTCCTAGCAAATATGTCATGCCCATTAAAGCGTGACAGTATTGTTGTTTCCATTGTCAAATCATCTGAATAGATTTATACAGTTAAAGGGATTATTTGCAAGTTCTGATAAAGTGATGATATAACAAGCAAAAGGTTCATGAGATTTAAACGAATAAAGACCTCATGTCCATGACGAATAGCATAGTTACATACGTTATCTGTTAAACGAAATTGGTTTGATGGCTTGCTGAAAAAGAAGAAAAAATATAAGGAAAGAAGACAATAATAATAACAGGCGTATATAGTAAGACCAACATTTTCGCTAATGATTTTGCGCCTTTTCAAATTTGACTTGTTAGTGAAGCGATTTTCACCAAATATACTAGTATGCCGCGTTTAGTTCATTTAATTCTCATTATCATGTTGAATGTATTATATTACTGGGGAAAACGATACGAGAAAATAAGAGGAACTGGAATGTATAAGCAAGTTCCTGGCGGCTTGTACATGGGTCTTTAAAATAAATGTACATTGTTCGTACTGTGAACAAAAGTGTGAGAGAGAGAGGGGGGTATATATCATTTATAGAGAGAGAGAGAGAGAGAGAGAGAGAGAGATAAGGGGGCAGAGAGAGAGAGAGAGAGAGAGATAAGGGGGCAGAGAGAGAGAGAGAGAGAGCGCGGTAGAAAGAGAGAGAGCGGCAGAAAGAGAAAAGGGATAGTTCATCCTAACATCGTTTATCACATAATATCACCCATAGCAACCATCACATCCAGATGTCACTCTGACAAAATAACAAAATATACAGTATTTTGGGATATAGCCTGCCGAGCTACTAGCACGTAGATACAGCATTTATTTCACATAAATTATCAACACTTTCATTTTTCAAAGTATGAAAACAACTTCCAACAAATTCTGTCTGAGAATCATACATATATAATGTTTTTATACCTCTTAACATTTAATCATGTGAATTCATAACTAATTAAACTGTTATGCCCTAACCCTAATTATGCCCGGGTTTAAAAAAACAGAGGTAAAACTGAATCAGCACTAAACTCTGAAAAGACCCTATGGCCACCACAACCTAAACTTTGATGCAACAACATGTCTCCTACCTATTATCATTTTTTAGTTCACTCTTTAAAAAGAACTCCATATAATTTTTTTTTTTTTTTTTTTTTTTTAAATCGTGCTAGTGTGCGTTCCTTGGAAAGCTAGAATGACTTCTCTCTACACACCACACCCTTATCTCGCATCCTCTCTTTTCATATTCAAATGAATCACCTTTGACGCAACGGAATTGAATAATTCCGTCACGCATGCCGGAGAACAATTAGTGTTCACCACTTATTGGCCGTATAAACAACATTTGCCAGCTATACGATGTAACGCTGGCAAATACATGTTCATCCTAACATCGTTTATCACATAATATCACCCATAGCAACCATCACATCCAGATGTCACTCTGACAAAATAACAAAATATACAGTATTTTGGGATATAGCCTGCCGAGCTACTAGAATACTACAAAGAAGGGAAAAGATTTAACTAAACCTCAATCCGAGATAAAATACAAAAAATAAAAAACAATCTCTATCTTCCCGATCTTATTCACGCCATTGTAAATATGCTGACTTGTAAGGAATCAGATTATTTTTTTTTTTCTTTTCTTTTGAAGGAAATATGCACTCTTTCTGACCTATGCAAATATTGCTGGCAATAGTGTGTTCCTTAAATAAACTTGAAACGTTTAATTTATTTAACAAAAATATCACGTATCCTTATACGTAGTTTGTTCAAACATAAATATCTTTACCTCAGTCACTAGTTTTATATATTTCCCTAGTAACAAACAAATATTACAAATTTAAAGCTTGAGATACAGTGAACCTGTCCTCCAAACTATCGTCCACGTACCCATCCTTCGCTTTTTCCCCTTTCCATCTACCATGCCTCTTCCATACTCTGTCATTTACTCCTGCCCTGGCAGCTGCCGTGGCTCCACTTGCCCTCAAAGAATGGAGACCAATGTTTAACTCCCCGCTTACCTCCTTGAGACGAGCGACAACTGTTTCACGTGTTCTCGTATAGCTCATTTGCTTATTCTTATGTATCAGAAACTTTCTTCCTTTATTTGCATATGCGGGTTTAAATAAAAAATGATCCGATTTCGGATCTATCCCTGCACTCTCCATATACCTCTTAACTATGCCAATAGGACAAGCATTTGTCCTCCCTTCACAAATGACTACATCATCTCCTTTTCTGTACTGATCTGTCTTACTCTTTGAAACGTGTACGGACATATGATCATCATAAAAACTGATATCACTGCATTTTAGAGATCTGGCCTCATCGAATCTAAAAAATCCACTAAAACCAAGAATAATGAAAGCTAAATCACGAAGAATAAGAACATCATGAGTACCAGAATGTTTGTCACAAAGATCAACAATCTGCGCATTCGACAAAATATCCTTTTTAGACACTTTCTTAGCGTTTTCCCTCTTAGCTGCTTCAACAATGTTTATTACAAAATTATTAGCTGTAGGATCTTGATAACCCCTCAAATTATGAAACCATTTTATAGCATACAATGCACCTTGAATGACACTTGGAGATTTCCCTCCGTCGATCAAACTCGTCAGGTATAACGCTATATGTGAATAGGCTCAGCCGGAATCGCTCTGCCACCCTCTGTGGTAATGAAATCTTCCCATCTCTTGAAGGTTGAATAATACTTGTTAACAGTCCCATCACTTCTCGAATGCACTAGATGAGATGCCATGCTATCTGATAGTTTCCGAAGCTTGCTAGTAACTGCTCCCGATGCCTCTACTTCATCTGAAACCGCCTTGCGTAGACCTAAACCTGTTAAAACATAAATCATGTCTAAAAATGAAATTTCACAGCTAACATTGTGAACCCATGTTTCGGAGAACCGAAAATACTATTGTTCCCTCTCCCCTTCTCCACTTCATTACAGGAAAATGTGAAAAACTCCCTGACAAACGATTTAAATTTCCCTCCTTGTGAAATTTTTGGCCAATAAGGTGCAGATTTCCACTGCGGCACGATTAGAGTGCCTACGGCCTTCTCCTGTATCGCTTTATCGATAACTCTCGCTGCCAATCGAGGTGGAGGCACCCACCAATTAACAGCATTACTCCACGTCTGCTTAAATGCATCGACCCCTTTTGAAGTGGGACAACCCCATCTTGAATTAAATTGTGCACACTTTGTGTTATAATCACAAGCAAACCTGTCGAATGTGTGTGGCCCCCATTTTCGATCTAAAAAATCAAAAAATGTTGAGCTAATACACCAGTCATCACTGTCTGATATTCTGCTAAGACTATCCGCCCTCTTATTCCGTTCCCTTGGAACCCAGACTACGTCTATACCCAAATGATATACCTCACATGTCTGGTGAATATCAATCGCAATCTCCTGCAATTGTCCGTTTTTACTGCCTTTTTGCACAATACTTGTGACATTTCTATTATCCGTATAACAACGAATGTTATGCCCTTCCAGGCATGGTCCAAGTGATTTCAGCGCTCTATTTAGAGCTTCCATCTCCCTCCATGAAGAACTGTATTTTGATTCAAACTCTCTCCAAGAGCCAACCACTTCCAGGTTTAAATCCTCACAAATGAACGCTCCATAACCTGTGCCTGAAGCATCAGTAAACATATTGAAACTACACGACTTCATTTGTGAAATGGGTATGCCATTAAATCTATCCATGTTCTTGTACCAAAAAGTTAGCTCTTTTTCTGCTTCATCCGACAGTAATACTGGAGCATTCCACGATGCCCGACTATTAATACACTTGAAAACATCTCTTGTCTTCAATTGAACCATCGAACCCACAGCGGGCTGCATAGATATGATCTGCCCAGCAACTCCTGCCAGATCCCGCACTGGGATCAATCTCTTCCCCTTGTTGGCTTTCACTAGTATACTTTGGATAGATTGTTTGCATTTACACATCCTTTCCTGTGTAATTTCTACCATCCCATCTATGAAATTCCAAGACAATCCCAACCAAATCGCCTTATTTTGAGGCATCCATTCACACTTGTCTTCGGCAAGAATAAAACCAAGCTTGCCCAAATCTGACCTAATCGTCTCGCTAACTTCATTAGCTTCGTCTATGTTACTACATCCTGCGATACCATCGTCAAGAAACATGACCACCCTTTTCCCCTGTGATCTCCAGTATGTTACTGGAACCCTGGTTACCTTTGTAAAGATGTAACCGGCGGTGGAAATTCCAAAAGGTAATACATTGAACTGAAAGTATCTTACTTTCCCCTCAAAATCCCAAGCAAAACCAAGATATTGCCTGTGCTCTTCGAATATTTCTATGTGATGGTATGCCGACTTCAAATCAAAAGTACAAACATAATCCCCTTTTTGGAAAATATCCTTACCAACTGATGCGTCCTCGTACTTAAACTTATTCTTGTACAAATGCGGATTGACATGCCTACAATCCAATACAAGCCTGCGCTTTCCTTTTTTCTCAGAAACTGTCAAGGGATTTACCACCGTGGGTATTGATTCTACTTCAGATACACAACCTTTTTCTAACAACTTTTCAATTTCATCCTTAACGAAATCTGAATGGATCAATGATGACCTGTTATTATGCCCACGAAACTTCTTCTACAATGTATCGACATATTAATTCCTGTGTTCACATCATTGATTAATCTTTCTCTCTCGACTGGTCACTTTCCCATGCAATGGAAAAATGCCCTCATCACACCTTTATTGAAAAAACCTGGTCTTGACGCAGATTTTAAGAACTT